ACATACATTATACGTTCTTTATGGTCAGTCACAATCATATGACCTGGACAATAATTCAGACTTTTTGTTTATGTTTATAGAGCTTATAAGTTTATGTTTATAGTCTGTTTATCATTTATGTTTATATATTTTATAGTTTATGTCTATAGAGCTTATAAATTTACGTTTATAGTTTATGTTATATTTAGTTGATGTTTATGTTATGTTTATAGTTTATGTTTAAGTTTTTGTTCATAGAGCTTTTAAGTTTATGTTTATGGAGCTTATAAGTTAATGTTTAAAGTTTATGTTATGTTTAGTTTATGTTTGTAGTTTATGTTTATAAAGCTTTTAACTTTATGTTTATGTTATGTTTAGTTTGTTTGTAGCATTTTCTCTCTCAAACAAACAAACAAACAAACCACTTTGTTACTGATAATTTATGCAAAACTTTCAAATTGAAAATAAATATAGGCTACAAATATGAACCTTAGAGCAGTTTTGCGATGTGTAAAACTAAAAATGAATAAAATATACTTTGAACATGAAATAAGGCAGAAAAACATAAATGTATCCAAAATAAACTATATATCCAGCTGTTCTACAATCTCTGTATTTAAAAAAAACAAAATAAATATACTTATTTATATAAAAAATATCCCAAAATAAACTTTGTTAAGCTTCATTTCAGCTTGATCATATGAGTTTGGAGATCATTTGAAACACAAATCAAAAATCGCCATCAAAATTTTACTTTTATTTTACAGCCTTACTTACCACCTTGTGATGTCAGGATGGGGTAGTTTTCAAGTTAACAGTTACAAATTTACCTTTGTTTTTCCAGAAATTGGCAAATCCAGGTTTTAAATTATCCAAACGATTCTGGTGAAGGAGCCTAAAGATGCAGGATTTGTGTGAATAAAACAAAACAAAACAACATTAACATAACAGATCAGAAAATACCGTAACATGAGTCGTTTATATTTATATCTTTGACTTTTATGGAAAACAATTTCAAATACAAGTTTTACTGATTTGGAAATTTGAAAATATTTGTTGAAGTTGGCGAATATTTGCAGTTGAAGGGCAGTGTATTGTAATCTGCCGTTGTAATGACAGTTGAAGGTTTTGGTTATTCTGATGAATTCCAGGATTGGGTTTAAACTGCTTTCATTTTGTTTGGCCGTCTTTAATCTGCTAACCCTGCGCTCTCTTAATCACAACTCGGAGCAGGTTTTTTAATCTAGACCGAATCAGGCCACGGATTATCGACCCCTGACCTTCCCATGATGCACAGCTGCTTCCTCCCTCCTCAGCCCGCTTTACGTGGAAGAAAGGATGACTAGTTTTATTTGTTTCGAGTCCTAAACGATGAAGCGCGGTAAACAAGAAGACTAATTTGTGAAGCGTGGAGCAGGTCCGGTGGAGGCGGAGGGGGGTGGGGGGGGTTCGCTCAGGCCTGATTTGGACACGGCGGCCATTTTGTGAGATTTAGTGCATGTGTGTCAGAGTCTTTATCTAATCCTTTTGACTTTAAGATTCAACGTGGCGGAAAAAAATGTGTGTGGAATGTGTGGATGCTCCGTTTGGAAGACAAGGACTGAGAGAAATATCACAGAATGATTTGTTTATTCACTGGTATGGGTTTATTTGAGTTAAAACTGTATTATGGTAAAGCTACTACTACTACTACTACTACTACTACAATTACAACTACTTACTACTACTACTACTGCAATTTCAACAACAACTACTACTACTACAACAATTACAAGAACTACTACTACTGCAATTTCAACAACTACTACTACTACTGCTACTTCTACAACAACAATTACAAGAACTACTACTACTGCAATTTCAACAACTACTACTACTACTGCTACTACTACAACAACAATTACAAGAACTACTACTACTGCAATTTCAACAACAACTACTACTACTACTACTACAACAATTACAAGAACTACTACTACTGCAATTTCAACAACAACTACTACTACTACTACTACAACAATTACAAGAACTACTACTACTGCAATTTCAACAACAACTACTACTACAACAACAATTACAAGAACTACTACTACTGCAATTTCAACAACAACTACTACTACTACTACTACTACTACTACTACTGCAATTTCAACAACTACTACTACTACTACAATTACTACAATTACAACAACAACAACTACTACTACTACTACTACAACAATTACAAGAACTACTACTACTGCAATTTCAACTACTACTACTACTACTACTACTACTACTACTACTACAATTACAACTACTTACTACTACTACTGCAATTTCAACAACAACAACAACTACTACTACTACTACTACAACAATTACAATAACTACTACTACTGCAATTTCAACAACTACTACTACTACTACTACTACTGCAATTACAAGAACTACTACTACTGCAATTTCAACAACAACTACTACTACTACTACTACTACTGCAATTTCAACAACTACTACTACTACTACAATTACTACAATTACAACAACAACAACTACTACTACTACTACTACAACAATTACAAGAACTACTACTACTACTACTACTACTACTACTACAACTACTACTACTACTACTACTACTACTACTACTACTACAACTACTACTACTACTTACTACTACTACTACTACTACTAACTACTACTACTACTAATTACAACTACTACTGCAATTTCAACTAACTACTACTACTACTACTACTACTACTACTGCAATTTCAACAACTACTACTACTACTACTACTACTACTGCAATTTCAACAACAACTACTACTACTACTACTACTGCAATTTCAACAACAACAACTACTACTACTACTGCAATTTCAACAACAACTACTACTACTACTACTACTACACTACTACTACTACTGCAATTTCAACAACAACTACTACTACTACTACTACTACTACTACTACTGCAATTTCAACAACAACAACAACTACTACTACTACTACTACTACTACTGCAATTTCAACAACAACTACTACTACTACTACTACTACTACTACTACTACAACAACTACTACTACTACAATTTACAACAACAACACAACTACTACTACTACAATTACAACAACAACTAACACAACTACAACAACACTACTACACAACTACAACTACTACTACTACTACTACAGTTACAACAACTACTACTACTACAGTAACAACAACTACTACTACTACAGTACAACTAAACAACTACACAACTACTAACTACTACTACTACTACACTTACAACAACTACTACTACTACTACAGTTACAACTACTACTACTACTACTACAACTACTACTACTACTACAACAACAACTACTACTACTACAAACTACTAACAACTACTACACTACTACTACTACTACTACTACTACTACTACTACAACTACTACTACACTTACAACAACTACTACTACTACTACAATTACAACAACTACTACTACTACTACTACACTTACAACAACAATTACTACTACTACTACTTACATACAACAACTACTACTACTACAACAATTACAACTACTACAATTACAACAACTACTACTACTACTACAAATACAACAACTACTACTGCTACAACAATTACAACTACTACAATTACAACAACTACTACTACTACTACAATTACAACTAGTATTACTACTACTACTGCAACAATTACAACAACAACTACTACTACTTTAATTACAGTTACAACAACTACTGCTACAACTACTACTACAATTATTACTACTACAATTACAAATACTACAATTACAACTCCTCCTCCTCCTCCTCCTACTACTTCTACAATTACTACTGTGTGTGTAGTGTGTTTTCCATTTTATTTTACTACAACCACAGGTGCAATGTTTTTGTGTTACAACCACCAGCATCTACTACTAAATTAATAAATTATTACACTCCTACTCCAGATATAAAATGACTATACATGTTTATTATTTTATCTTTCTGAAAACTGAAAAGCATGTATCTCATAGAAATCGGATACATTTTTTCTTTCCTGTTTTATTGCTAATCAGTCCAATTAATTTGCATGCTTTTCCATTGAGTGGATTTGGTCCATCTAACAATGATGAAAAATTGGGATTGTTGCCATAGCATTTAGAAATTTAAAAGAAACTTTTAGTGATGTGACAATAAAATGTCATATTGTATCGTCATAATATCGTGTTCTTTCACAATATATCGATTCAAGTACTTTACTTAAATGCATGTTTTTTTTAGTAGCAACAGCTTATAAACATCAGAAACTACATATCCCATGATTCATTTCAGCACAAACAACATGAAGAGATATGTTTTTACTTGAATTCTTGGGATTATGACGGTAATAATTCACAGCAAAATCTTGTCAAGGTATTTTAAAAGCAAAAAAGGGTCCGATTTACAATTATATCAGCCTCTTCAAAATATCGGCAATAAATATTGTACCGTGAGATTTGGATATCGTTACATCCCTAGAAATTATACATTTTGAATGGTCAAAAGTCATCAAAATGACACCAAGAACAGGAAACTGAAAACCACGATTAACCCAGTGAGTATAGTGAGGAAACTTTACATGGCCAGTATAATCAGCCAGTAATTAGACTAAAATCAGATCTGATTGTTTGGTAATCTGTTTACAGCAGAGGAGAAATCTGATCATCAAAAATAACTGGTGAGATGTGTCAGTGCATCAGTGGACTTTTTAGAGTAACTGTTGTGTTTGGAAGACAAAGTGCCATGAATTTTAAAATAACTCTTTCAATCTTTAACGTTTTGTCAACAAACCTGCAAAAAATGTGAATAATCAGAAAGAATTACATCAGATGTGAGTTTCCATTTTAATTCCAGACATGATAGCGATTCTGACGTGTAAACAACAACAATTTTTTTACTACTAGTACGTGGGAGTCCTAATTATTAAAGTCCTGTCTCCCTCTAGTGGACAGTCAGCTGTACTGCACTCAACAGTATAAAAACACCACAGAACAATACATTTACTCAAAAGTTTTTTTTATTAAACTTCATCATTTTACATGAAATTATTGAACAAATCCATGCAGATGTAAAGAACACCTCTGGTAAAGGGTGAATGTGCAACACTGTTAGAACAATCAGAATAGTTTTGTTATTGAACGTGAGTCTCCTGCATAAGGCACATACTGTTCCCTGTAACATGATGCAACTGGTAATTAATACATTTGATTTAAGACTAATGAAGATGTGTGCGCTACAATAAAATAATGCTATGATCAATAACAAGACCTGCCATTAGTTTGAATTCATACGTGAGGATTATCCACCAGTTTCCACCCAGCCCCGGTGTTTTGCATGAACAACAGAAATGACAAAGTTGTAAAATGAAACAGTATATTTCATATTAAAATTACATAGTTAAAAATGAAGCAACGTGGATGAAGAGAGGGCAGTGGACACTTGTGCAATACTTCTGGTATTGTTAATAACTTCGATGCTGAAAGTCCCTGAGAGGCGACCGATGCATTTGACAGAGGTAAAATCAGAAAAACATGTAAGTAAATGAGAATACTGGTTAATTAAATACTACAGTGACATTGTCAGAGGTTAGAGGTCCTATTTTATGCATTAACACTGACCATTTTTGGATATCTTTATTTTGGCATTTCTAGAGGTGGTATGTCTCCTGTGTGATTCCATGGAAATAGAAAGTTAAAGCTATATTTTGGAACATTTTTCATGGAGAAACACACATATTAATATTAATACCATTACCATAGGAACGAGATTTCCATGGAAACAAGCAATAAGAGGCCTTTCTCCAGACCAAATAAGAGTGAGGTTTGTGGAGATGCAAGTTCACTCACTGTAAGGACTCAAGTTTTTCAGTGCAATAAACCAATTTTGTTGTGTCTATTTTTTGCCTAAAATATTACATATCCATCCATCAATCCATTCCACTTATCCGGGGCCGGGTCGCGGGGGCAGCAATCTAAGCAGGGACTCCCAGACTTCCTTCACCCAGAACACTTCCTCCAGCTCCTCCAGGGGGACCCCAAGGCGTTCCCAGGCCAGCTGAGAGACCCTCCAGCATGTCCTGGGTCACCTCCCGGTGAGACATGCCCGGAACACCTCTTGAGGAAGGCGTCCAGGAGGCATCCAGAACAGATGCCCAAGCCGCTTCAGGTGCTCCTCTCAACGTGGGGGAGCAGCGGCTCTACTCCGAGTTCCTCACCCTATCTCTAAGGGAGCGCCCAGCGGCCACTTGTATCCGGGATCTTGTCCTTTCGGTCATTACCCAGAGCTCATGACCATAGGTGAGGGGAGGAACGTAGATTGACCGGTAAAAGTTACATACTGTGGCTTTAAACTTAGATACACATATTTGATTGAGGGTTGATAATTCTATAAGCCCGGAGAGGCCCTGTTTGGCGAAGTTTTAATCAGTTTTAAAAATGTAGAACTTGGTTTAGCTTGTGAAAGAAATTTAAATCAATTTGAATGATTTTTAAAAGTGCACTATACAAGTTTTATGTTTTAAAGAAGACATTGTGCTTGTGTCTGCTTTATAATTAGAATCTATGACACCCGTGGATCATAATGTTACCCAATAGGAGCCGACATCGCTCTAAACGTCATCACAACAAAGAGCCGTGTATCTGTCGGCCCCTCCTTTGGATAGCTGCAGATTTACTTTTGGTTTTTATCAGTACAACTTTGAGAGGGTAAATTAGAAGGGGAAACAACTAAAACGTGGTTAAAAGCTCTCAAAAGTCGATTTTGCATAAAAAGTCTGCTTTAGCATCTTAAAAGGTTATTGCATTGGAACGTTCCACAGGATTGTATAAGCTTAAGTACCTCTCAGTTATTCAATTACAGCTAAAAATCAATCTAAAAACTTGCATAGTGCCAGTGCGAGTCAGTTTTGCATAATATAGGACCTTAAAGAAAGCATAAGTAATTAAACTTTGCAGTATAGTCTTAGCATGTTTGCAGTTTGTCTGATCAAAACGTGTCCATGCCCAAACTGTTAAAGATAGAGGCAGATATGGGACAGCCCTGTGGCGCAGACAAACCCTCCTCTCCCTCCTTCTCAAAGCGTGATCCGTGTTCTGAGTCCGATGGCGCTCCCGCTGGTGTCGAGGTGCAGGTCACCATCGTGCTCACCTGGGGGTTGTGGGCCATGGGCGTGGACACGGAGGGAGGGGAGGAGGGTCCGGAGAGGGGGAGCTGAGCCGTGGGGGGGTCCAGGCTGGAGGTGTGGCCCACCGAGCACAGGTTCTGACGAGTCTCCTCCAGGCTCTGCTCCAGCTGGCTCCTCTCCTGCAGCAGGCGCTCTCGCTCATTTCTCTGCAGACAGGAGACAAAGACAACTGGAGGTTATGAGAAGCCGTCCACCCACTTCTCCCGACGTTAGATGTAAAAAAAATAACAAATATAAAATAGCTACAACTTAAAAGTCAAACTGTAGCTATTGGTAATGGTGAAAACAAACTGCATAGGCTCATGATATCTGTGGTACTGTCCTATAAAGACCTGAGACATGAGGGACCAGGACTGAACCAGGACTGAACCGGGACTGAACCGGGACTAAACAAGGACTAAATCAGGACTAAACCAGGACGGAACCAGGACCAGGACTAAAGCAGGTCTGAAAGAGGACTAAAACTGGACTAAACCGCGGCACCCTGCTTCGTGGGCTCGGGGTTCTCCCTCTTGTTCTCAAGTCCAAGATTAGTCCTAGTTTAGTCCTGGTTTAGTCCTGGTTCAGACCTGGTTCAGACCTGGTTCAGACCTGGTTCAGTCCTGGTTCAGTCCTGGTTCAGTCCTGGTTTAGACCTGGTTCAGTCCTGGTTTAGTCCTGATTCAGTCCTGGTTCAGTTCCATTTTAGTCCTGTTTTAGACCAGTTTTAGACCTATTTTAGTCCTGTTTCAGTCCAGTTTTAGCCCCGTTTTAGTCCTGGTTCATGTTTTGTAGTCTATGATTTATGTTCTGTAGGCAATTATAAATGACGTTAATGTTAATAACATGATTCTGCATCATTTTGAGTAAAAAAAACCCCATCAGATCAGCGTCACAAATCATGTACCCCTGCTTTAAAACAATACACACACACAAAACCCAAAACTATTTAAGCGACATGATCAGTATTATAATGGACACGATTTGACAGAAGACATGCTCACTACGGGTCTGGGGATGATTTACGGACTTAAAACTGCAAAGGATTTCTACCTGTGACGTAACAATCCTGGAAAATTTAAATCAGTGTGATTTCTGAGGCTCTAAGAGAGACAACCTTGTAAACAGGATGAATGAAACACAAGTGAGAACCAAACTAAATACAACTCAAGGTATGTTTTTGGTGAATTTATGATTATGTTTACGTTTTAAGGCATGTCTGTGTACAAGGTTCAAATAATTCCCAAAACAATGAACGGAGCAGGAAGTGTAGCTCCGCAGTTTTTGAGAGAACTGAAGCTGTGAATAAGGCCTATTGTTCAATGAAGTATCACGATATGTCAATGAATCATTTTTTTTCTTACACCCCTAACCTCCGCTGATGTCTTCCTTTAGCTGCTGTACCCATTTCTGAGAGCAGATACCCAAAAACAAAACAAAAAAAAAACAATAAAAAAAAAAGTATATCTCCACTGACCAGCGTCCTGATATCTGCTTGTAGCTGCTGTATCCCGTCTAGTTTCCTCTTGCGGCAGCGCTGAGCAGCCATCCTGTTCTTACTGCGGCGCCGCACGTCGTGGACAAACTCCTGCTGCTCCGGGGTGAGTCTCTGCAGACGTAGGAGCTTCTGGAACGCGCTGCGGCTCAGGTTGGAGATGTCCTCCACAGGGAACGGCAGATGGATCTATACAACACACAGGAATACACACATGGAATTTCACTTCGCAATTAGATAAACAGATAGATATTTTATTTATCCCGAAGGAAATTCATTTTTCTGTAGCAACAATGTTACATAATAATAATACAGCAGTAATTCAATTTATAGTGAAGTGTTGTATAGTTGTATGGCGAGTGGAACAAACGGCTTCCAGAGTGTGTCCATGGAGCAGAATCCATGTATCATTCATTTTTCAAAATAAAACTAAAAATAAGAAAATGAAAAAAAAAAAAAAACTATTTTCTTCATTATTTGTCTCCAAAACCAAAATGAATAATGGAAAAAAAACGAATAAGGGATGTTTCATGTTTACGTGACTTAAACTGCGATGCCGGACCGAGCCAGGACTGAAACAGGACTAAACCGGGTCTAAACCAGGACTGAAGCAGGACTGAAGCAGGACTGAAGCAGGACTAAACCAGGTCTAAACCAGGTCTAAACCAGAAATGAAGCAGGACTGAAGCAGGACTAAACCAGGACTAAACCGGTCTCAGTCCTGATCACCCGACAGTCTACACGGGCGCACCTCCAGACCCGTCCCGACATTCAGTCCCGATTCAAACCTGGTTTAAACCTGGTTTAGACCCCTTTTAGTCCTGGTTCAGTCCGTGGTGCAAAAGTCCCACATCGTAGTTTAAGTCATGGAAACGGGAAACGGCCGGTATCCGTTTTGTCCATTTTTCATTTAAACACAAAATCGAAAACTGAAAAAACAAATCATTATCTGTTTATTCATTTTGGTTGTGGAGACAAATAATGAAGAAAATAGTTGTGTTTTTCATTTTCTTATTTTTAGTTTTAATTTTGAAAAAAATAATTAACGAATGATACACAGATTGAGCAGGACAGGGACAACAGCCTGTCCCCAAAGGTGCTCTCCAGTCCGGTGATGGTGCTGTAGGGGGTGCAGGGGGTTATCAGGATGAACAGGAGCTTGTTTAGGGCCGCCTTCTCAGCCACAGATGTAAATGAATGACGCTACAGATCCTGCCTTCCTCACCATCTTACCCTGCAGACCACAGAGCTGAAGAGGACACTGGAGATCATCAGGAGGAGCTTCTGGCAGATGTTAAAGGACTTCAGCCTCCTGACAAAGTACAGCTCTGTCCCTTTCTGTAGAGCAGATCTGTATTCTCAGACCAGTCCAGTCTGTGGTCGAGATGTGGCCCAAATACTTAAATCCTTAATACTTAAATACAATACAAAAATCTACAGCAGAGGTGTCAAACTCAAATTCACAGAGGGCCAAAATTAAAAACTGGGTGGGTCTTCTTTTGAGATATGTAAAGTTAAACCTTTTCTTATTAAAATAAATGTTTAATAATAGTTTTGCTTAAACACTGAATCCAGAACAAGTATATATAAAATAATAACATTTTAACTAAATAATGTCTCTATAGTCTATCTGTAGCCGACGGGCAGCTCTAATACATATCTGACATGATCTCGCGGGCCAAATATAATTATGCCTTGGGCCAAATTTGGCCCCTGTGCCTAAAATTTCACATTCTACAGCGTCAACAGTGTCCACCTTAATCAGGGGTGTCAAACTCATTTAGTCCGGGGGCCGTATCCAAACTACTTTGATCCAAAAGGGGCTGGATCAGAAAACTCAAGGCATATATACCCCAAAAATAACAATAAGTTCAAAAATTTGTAAAGAAAAACGCAAATCTGTTACAGAAATCTTTTTTAAATGATGAAATGATGAACTCTTTCTTCTGCAACATATTCTAATATTATGAACAACCTGAAACCTGAAATGCAATTTCAACACAATGTTTTAACATTAACTTGCATGCATTTCATAGAATTTAGTCATGCTTTCTTTTTGCTCCTGAAACTTGGCATCTTTTAGACTGCACAAGTGCATCTATAGGCGAGTTTCAGCTGACATCATTGTTATTAAAAGCCCGCGTTGCATGCTGGGAAATATTTTGGTCGGAGGCAAGAAACACGATAGCGGTCAAACACAGTGCATAACCTCGCGTATTTATCCCCAATAATGGTAAATTCCTGCTGCATTATCGGATGCACAAATAGAAGCACGGAAGAAGGAAAATGTCTTGTTCGTATTCCAAGTGAAAAGAACCGCTAACGGCAAATTAAACGGCTTTCAAACATTCGCAGAGCAAACGTAGAAGATCCTAGCAAACTGTGGACTCCAACAAGTTCAACAACACATCGAGACTCTTGGAGGCTTTCATCTTTTCTGCTGTGAATGGCCCAGGAGTTTCCACCAAGTCATTGTGGATGTCGCCGAAGTGAATATTTAGCCAGGTAGTTGAAGATTCTGACCAGAAATTTGGTTTGGTCCACCTTTTGTAGGGGTTGAAAAGGGTGATTTGGTGCTTATGACCAATTTCTGGTCAAATCGGCTTCAGTCCTCTGCCGTTAGACTGGATAAATAACTGGGATCAATACCCTTTACGTGCTTTCTCACTCCGTCCGTCATGTTGAATTAGTGTTTCTTGCCGCCGACCAAAATAATTCCCAGCATGCAACGCACGCTTTTCAGAATGTCATTCAAGTGCTTGTGTGTTTAGCTTTGAGCGCAGCTTTGTTTTATTAATGTTCATTACTGAGAAAACCTGCTCACAAAGGTAGTAACTGTAAATCTATTATTTCTAGTTGCATGTCTGCGGGTGCATCAGAGGTTTTGACTGAATGGTGTACAAAGAATTACAAATTCTGTCTTCAAGTTTTAAAATATAATTAAAATATTTTAGTAGAAAATCAGCCGAGGCCCAGATTAAAGGTCTTGGAGGGCCGGATCTGGTCCCTGGGCCGTATGTTTGACACCCCTGAAGTTAATGATCACAGCTCGCAACTGTACAACAACTCATCCTTATGTAACAGATAAACCCCATGGCCTGTCAATCAGCAATATCATCTTTGCAATGTTCTCTTTATGACCTCTTGTATATTACAGAGATAATTTTATTACGTATTTTATTACTTTTATTTTGACTTTATTTTATTTTTACTTGTACATACACATTTATATAATTTTACCTTATTTGACACCTGTCTCTTGATGTTTTTGCTATTTATTTAGAATTTATTCTTACCATTTATATTTTCTCTCTTTGTTATCATAATTTATTGCGATGTGTGAGATACTGTGTCCGAGTAATTTCCGTTGTGGATCAATAAAGTTTGTCTAAATAAGTTCTAAGTCTACTTCTCTGGTGATTTACTAAAACCTTTTGTGTTAAGGTTTATCTTGAGAACTTTAAACATAAAAAATACACCGTTGATATAGTAAGTTCAAAGACCCGGTCACCAATAAAAATTCATAGGTTTTAGAATAATAAAAAGTTTGTGCAAAATCATTGTTCGCGTCACTACTTCCCGTCCAGTTAGATGTCTTTGTGCTGAGTCACACTAAAATTCATAAATAGTAAAAGATCAGGAGTGGACGGGGAACTGTGGGTGTCACTGTCAGCACGTTAAATACTTTACAAATGAGATGAAATGGTTCTCCCAAGGGCACTTCTGTGTTCTGTCTCAGCACTAATGCGAATTTTGAGGAACAGAAAATATCTTAATAATAATGACTCTACAAACTGAACTCATCTACTAGTATAAATACAACTGAAGTTTTATAGGTTGCTCATTTTATATTTTACACTTAATTTACATTTAATTTACACTTTAGACTTACTTTAGACGCACTTTAGGGTCAGTCCATCTGAAATCAGCCACCCACCCGTATGAGCCATCTCAGATTTGGCTGATAGTTGAATTTTGACACTTTTCCAAGCAATGTAGCCACAAATAATCTCCAATTGTCTTCCCTTCTAACAAGCAAATAGTGTTTAAGGCTATTAAAGATAATTGAACCTTTCTATCAGGTGGAAAAGTACCTAAGCTCCACCAAAAATGACCTGCGAGAGCTCATTTTCAAAAATTCAGTTTGAAATGAAGGAAGTTAATAGTAGATGCTTTTATTACTTTAAACTAATCAGAATATTCCAAAGTTCCTCGAGGAGGGTCCAAAGAAGGGGCCAAAAAGATCACATTTGGTCCGTTTCCATATTTGGGACTTTACACCATCCACATGAAAGCTCAAGAAAAGTGTGAGATTGTTGTCAGAAATTGTCATTCTCTTAAATATTCAGGTTCAACAGTTAGTTTGTAAATATCTGCTTGGAGTAAATAGATCTTGGACCTCAAAAATTGGGAAAAAAAATAAAATAAAATTCTGCTTCAACCAAATGTGAGATTTTGGGGGCCCACAGCGCCACCCTTTTAATAAAGATACCCAATATTTGACAATTGATTTAGAATCTATGACCTAAAATCTACAAGAACACGAATTTTCAGCTTCCTAACTCTATGTTTTGTGAAGCTATGGTCTCTCAAACATGCTTATAAATTAAGGCTTCCAAAAAAGTGAGCCTGGCCCCAAAATTTCAACGGGGCATAACTCAGGAACGACTCAAGGGATTGAGCTAAAATTTTAGATTCTTTCATTTGGTTATTTTAGAATTTTTTGGGAAACGTTTTCAGCCAAATCTGAGATGGCTCATAGGGAAAATTCCTTGAAAACAGCTGGACTGACCCTTTAGACTTACTTTAGACTTTGTTAAAGTAAGTAATATCTTCAGCAAACATTGAGCTAACATTTGAGCTTCTGCACACAGATCAATAAAATTTTAAGCTTCATTTGATCATTAATCATGTGGTTTCAGAGTATCCCCACATTTGACTACCCCAAATTTTAGACTTTAAGACCTTTTTAAGATCACTTACATGAAAATTAAGACCAACATCGCACCCATTATGATTGCAAAAAACACCAGATCCATTTCTAATAATGACCAACCAACTACGGTATTATATCTAGAATCTAAGAGCCGCTGTGGATGAAACCGACACTTCCCCATGATCCATCCAACGTCTTCCTCCACTCTACTGACTGTTTACTCATCGCAGCCGGCGCCAGAAACCAAAGTATTGTTTGCGCATACTCCAAATTAGATGTTCATTCACGTTAAATTATTTCACGTTGTTGTTTTTTTCCCTCTCTCCTTTTAACATTGCACTGAAGCCTGGTTGAGTTTACAGAAAAATAGGCAAATGAAATTTAAGGGAAAAAAAACAAACAAAAAAAAGACTTGGACAACATAATTCAAGACTTTTTAAGTCCTTAATTTAGGAACATGAAATTTAAGACCTTTTTAAGACTTTTAAGACCACGCAGTTACCCTGGTTTTAGCCCATTTAATCGAGAAGCATGTGGTTATAAAAGAGGTCACACTTTTGAGAAATAAACTGGACAGTGTTTTTGTTGAACTGCGATGATTAAAAGTCTGTATTGTTTACGTTAAAAGTGCATTGAGTAACTTTTCTGATGGATGGCATGTCAAATGCTTTTCTTAATGGAGATGTTATTGCTTTGTCTGAAATGTTTCACAGTATGGCATTAAAACGTTCTATCTTCAAGGAGATCAAACCAGACCAAGTTACAGGTCAGATCTGTGGAGAGGCGACCCCGCTCACAGTCAGAATGTTTGTTTTTCTAGGTATTTTTTTTAGCTATAAAACCACTTGTAATTGAATAAATGTAAGGTAGAACTGGTTAATGTCACACTGTGGAACATTTCAGGCAGAGCAATGACATATCCATAGAAACAAGGAGGTGACTGACCCCCAACCAAAAAGTTACACAGTGCACCTTTAAGGAAATGTATTTTGTTTTGATAATACAAAATAAAACTGAACTGAAAATCAAGTCTGATCAATTTGAGAAAAAAAAACAAACAAAACAAAACAAAGCAAGATATATTTTTTGTCATATCACCAGCCCTAGATACAGGCTCTTTGTAACTTTGTGCAGTGGACTGGTTCGGCTTGTTACTATGCTGAGCTCTTCGCTTTGGGCCGACTAAAACCAGTTTGCCCTGAACCCAAAATAGTCCAGTCTGATGTCATGTGCTCTCAGTATGTGACAGCTAATGACATTTCAGGTTCAGTTGTGATTGCGTTGCTGTTTTAAACTGCAAACGGCTATGACCTTCAAAGGAAATGAATGCAAGATTTTTATTTTGATTTCATAAACATGGCCCATCTGTGTCTCCACCTTGTCAACTGTTCAAATAAAATACAGCTTTTACTCTCTCTTTCTCTCTCATTTGGTTTGCCAGTCCAAGTCTAAAACCATTTAAACCTAAAAGGACGATTCACTTAAGTTATGATTCGATTCAACTTTCGATTCTGGACTCCCGCTTTTTTTGAGAATCATTCCATTCTTACCATCTACTGACAATGAGCAAAAACTTGTACGTGCCCTCTATATGTAGGTTAAAGGATCACTGTGTAACTTTTCTGTGGTGGAGGATCCGTCACCTGCTTGTTTCTATCTATATGTCATTGCTCTGCCTGAAATGTTCCACAGTATGACATTAAACAGTTCTCCATTACATTTATTCGAATACAGGCATTGTGAGTGTGAGCAGGGTCGCCTCTCCACAGATCTGACCTTTAACTTGGTCTGGTTTGGTTTCCATGAAGATAAAAATGTTTAATGTCATACTGTGAAACATTCCAGACAAAGCAATAACATCTAGATAAAGAAAAGTATTTGACGGACCCTCCACCAGAAAAGTTACACAATGAAACCCAGGTCCAGTTGTGATTGTAGTACCATATTTTTCAGACTATAAGTCCCATTTTTTTCATGGCTTGGGTGGTCCTGCGACTTATATATTAAAATTTTCACACTGACAGGTGTGGCTGACAGAGGCTCTAGTCTTGTGTGTCAGTATCTGCTGCTCCTGTTACTCCTGTACCACTGTCACTTTACTCTACTGCACATGTCTCCTGCAGAAAGAGCCCCTGTCCTGTCTGTATCATGTCAGTTGATCACATCACTACTTCTGTACCACAGAAAATTTTAAATTGAAACAAACTTATAAAGATGACTGAGAAGACTGAACACAAATGCCCCCCCCCAAAAAGAAAATCATATTTTGCAGATTACAAGATGCAAGTAGGGAAATCTGCAGCTGAAAATGAGCAGCAGAAAGAAAGTTTGGATTGAGTGAGAAACTTGTGACACTGGGAGGGTGCACCATGCAACTTTCCTGGAAGTCACTGGATGGATCGACAAAGCCTGGACTTCAGTGAAAACCGAAACCATCCTGTCGGGATTCAGAAAGGCCGGAATAATTCTAACTGGAGCTGATGCTGAGTCTGACGACAGCTACACAGAAGAGGAAGTGGAACCCCATTTACCTCCGGATGTCACGGAGTTGCTCAGAAGTGACTCAGAGGATGAAGAACTGAATGGATTTAGTGATTTGGAGTGAGATGGAGAGTTTGGTAAACTTGTTCTGCTGTTTATGTTATAATTATCTGAAGAACTATTCATATGTGACATTAACAGCCTGTTGTTCTCTGTTCTATTGTTATTACTATAATTTGACTTTCAATATGAATTGTCAGTTCCTGGTCTCTGATCTTATAAAATACATTTCCCCTTAAAAAAAAGTGCAACTTATAGTCTGGTGCAACTTTCCAAAAAATATGATACTCTTTTGTAAAACACTAAGTAGCACAGGCAACATAAAGTTCCTTAAACTTTGGAAATATCTGAAAAAACATTAATGAATTTGTTCTCTAGACACTCACCTCCGCTGCTCTCCTTTTGTTGGCTTCCGTGTCTCCATCTGTATCCACTTCTGAATCCTCTTCGGAGGGCGGTGACGACATACAGGGAGTCATCTCTGGATGGGACATACTACTGCTCAGACTCTGCTCCTCCTCTGTCCCCATGTCTCTGAGGAAGGGACAGTCCCCCATACTGGAAGTCAAGTCCAACTGCTTCAACCAGTGGAAATCCGTCGCTTTGGACATCTTCGCTTGCTCCGTCGGGTCTGGCGGAGGACACAGCTCTGACCAAAAACCCTTCGCCAAATGTTCCGCTACCTCTCTCTCGACAATGCTCCTGTCCCCGAACCCTTCCTCTTGACTCAGAACGCTTATGGACGCCTCGGGGAAGTTGGCGGACATGTTTTGGTCGAAGCTAACATCACTTCCGTCGCTTTCTTGAGATCTGAACGGACATCGATTGCAATCTTTATCCGCTCTGAGTATCTCCACTGGTTCTATCCCGTTGCTTTCCGCGGCTGGCTCTATAAGCTCTTGTCCGTGCCCTGAATTGTTGACACTGCATGGAAGACCACAATCTGCCAATTCACTCTGATTGCATACATTTCCGATGTCTAAAATGTCACGCTCGCAGTACTGGGCGGGGTGGTCGGCTTTGCTAGAATCCGCACATTGCATGGATAAAACTGGACATTCCCCAGTTGCGGCTAAGTCTAAGGATAAGGACTGAATTTGAGATCCACAATTCTCCAAGCACAAGTGGTCCTCTTTGCTGGACATCTGCGAAGTCTCCGATGGACAATGCGAAGATGATATATTGGGCTGTTCACCTTTGCTAATGTTTTCGCAAGTTGCAGAGTCAGAGAGGGTTTTTTTACAACAAGATAGCTGTGAATCTTTTGGTGTTTTCTTGCCCTCTGACAACTTGGGCAGGAGGAAGTCAAAGCAGGACGATTCTAAGTTGTGGAAGCCCAGGATGTCAGCGCAGTTGTGGATGGCGTGGATGTTCTCCTTGGTGAAGAGGAGCTTGGAGGTGTAGGCGAACTGCAGCAGAGGCTCAAACCCCTCCACGGTCACCTGGAAAGATGGAAAGAGAAGAAATAGTTACTTTGGATGTATTCACATTTGTCCTGGTTTAAATCTAGTTTATTTTAATGAACACTTTGTACCAAATGAAGACTACAACAAAATAAACAGGACTTAAACCAGTTCCAATTCCAGGTTTGGTTCTAGTCTAGGTCAGATTCAGCTGCAGGTTTAATCTGTGGTTAAGTCTTAGTTAAGTCACAATTTTGGGTATTTATATTGTGGGGAGGTAAAGGAGCTATACTTGATTTTGACTTCAAAACAAGAAAAACAGAACTAGTTTATTTTAAACTGCTTGCATTTGTCCAAAGTTATTCCTCATTTAGCTTATGCATTCCAAGCATCCTAATTATTCACCAGGATGAGTTTATGAGCACTTTTCACAACTCTATTTTCAAGAGTGTGGAGTTTTGCTGTCACAGTAAAGCTAACAACATCAAGCATGCAAATACACATGTCCTGATTATAGGACAATAGAACATTTTCTAATTAGATGCAGACAGCGTGTAGTTGACTTATTTTGACCTCAAGGTCTAGTGCCTTCGCTCAATTTCATTTTTCACCAGCGACTAGGTCAGGAATCATAATACACTAGACAGTTTGCAAGAACCGCGGAAGATGTAGACCGCGCACCGGCCAATCAGTGAAGAGCTGTGAAGCCATAACTGGGCCCCTTTTGTGGTACAGCACAACAGTAAACAAAGTGGTGGAGATGGATGTAGACGAAGCCATACATTCTGTGTCGGCAACGATTCCTGAGATCGAGGATTTAAAGCCGGAATGTTTGGTTGCTGTTAGTGTTAGTGGCGCATTACATACATCACGACCAAATAGCCATGAATGGTTAAATTTTAAAAAGTACCTGCCTACTGTTGAGCAAACAACCTAATGCTGGGAGGTCAGACGGTTTCCACGAAGTGAAACTGGCTGATGAATCAGGCTACCGCTCTGTACGAAGGGCAAGACATATTTGGCTCAAACACATGGAAAGATCTGGGTACAGGCTCTTGAAATCTGTACTCACTAACTAACTCACTAACTTTATATCTGTACTAACTCACTAATGCCTGTTTCACAGAGGCAACAAATGTCTGTGAAAACTCACCCTAAACCTGTTGTAATATTAAATAAAGTATTGTGAAATTACCAATCGTAAACTGAAACTATTATAGTTATTACAAAAAATGAGGGGTAGGGTCTCAATTTTAATAGGTTTTAGCTGTCTAAATCACATCTTCTGCTCCTCATGTTTGTATCTGTAAAAATGTTAAAGTAAGACTGTGTGGTTCTAGTTTAGCCTCAGTTTACTTCTTAATGTAGTCCTAGTGTAGTCCCGTCTGAGTGTGAGTCTGAGTGTGAGTCTGAGTGTGAGTCTGAGTGTGAGTCTGAGTGTGAGTCTGAGCTTGAGTCTGAGCTTGAGTCTGAGCTTGAGTCTGAGCTTGAGTCTGAGCTTGAGTCTGAGCTTGAGTCTGAGCTTGAGTCTGAGCTTGAGTCTGGGCCTGAGTCTGAGCTTGAGTCTGGGCTTGAGTCTGGGCTTGAGTCTGGGCTTGAGTCTGGGCTTGAGCCTGAGTTTGAGTCTGGGCTTGAGTCTGAGCTTGAGTCTGGGCTTGAGTCTGGGCTTGAGTCTGGGCTTGCTGGGCTTGAGTCTGAGCTTGAGTCTGAGCTTGAGTCTGGGCTTGAGTCTGGGCTTGAGTCTGGGCTTGAGTCTGGGCTTGAGTCTGAGCTTGAGTCTGGGCTTGAGTCTGAGCTTGAGTCTGGGCTTGAGTCTGGGCTTGAGTCTGGGCTTGAGTCTGGGCTTGAGCCTGAGTTTGTGAGTGTTGTGACTGCAGCTTTACATGACTGACGTTAATCTTTTTAGCTCCACACACTGATCTGTATTTTCTAAATCACTGAATAGCTCAACTTCCAGCCAGTTCAGGATGACATGACTTGTCTCTACTAGTATTCGTTAATCATAAACAGCTAATAATTACTGAAAAGCCCACCCTGCACCTCTTTGCGCCCCTCCAGTTAAAGTATCAGCCCTGCTCGTTAATGAACAAACCCGGACGTTCACCTCCTCACCTCTTCGGGCAGAGTGACGACAGGGCACTGCCGGCTGGCCCCTGGGAGCCTGCTGTGGAAGTACTGGCTGCAGGCGGCCAGGACGGAGGCGTGGGCCCTGAAGCTCTGGTCCCGCACGAGAACGGTGATGTCGCACAGAACGTCGTGGAGCCGCTGCTCGTTCAGTTTCTGCAAAACCCAGGAAGTGTGCCCCGCAGACTGGAAGGTGAAGACGGAGGAGCGAGGGGTCAGGGAGGACATGCTGGGACAGGACAGAGGACAGGGCTGGAAAACAAAGGGAGAGAGGGAGAAGCAGGAAAGAGAGAAGCGGGGAGAGAGAGAAGCAGAAGAGAGAGAAGCAGAAGAGAGAAACAAGAAGAGAGAGAAACAGGAGAGAGAGAGAAGCAGGAGAGAGAGAGAGAGAAAGAAGCAGGAGAGATAGAAAAGCAGGAAAGAGAGAAGCAAGAGAGAGAAACAAAGAGAGAAGCAGGATAGAGAGAAAGAGAAAGATGCAGGAGAGGGAGAGAGAGAAGCAGGAGAGAATGGAAGAAGAGAGACAGAGAGAAAGAAGCAGAAGAGAGAGAGAGAAGCAGGAGAGACAGAAAGAAACAGAAGAGAGAGAAGCAGGAGAGACAGAAAGAAACAGAGGAGAGAGAAACAGGAGAGCAAAGTGAAGAGAGAAAGAAAGAGAGAGAAGCAGAAGAGAGAGAAGCAATAGAGGAAGGGAAAGAGAGAGAAGTGGGAAAGAGAGAATCAGGAGAGAGAGAGAGAAACAGAAGTGGGAGAGAGAAGCATGAGAGAAAGAAGAGAGAGAGTGAAGCAGGAGAGAAGCAAGAGAGAGAGAAAGAGGAAGAAGCAGGAGAGTGTGAAAGAAGCAGAAGAGAGAGAAGCAGGAGAGAAAGAAAGAAAAGCAGGACAGAGAGCGAGAGAAGCAGAAGAGAGAGAAGCAGGGGAGAGAGACAAGCAAGAGAGAGAAAGAAGCAGGAGAGAGACAGAGACAGAGAGACAAGTCTGTAATTTTTGGTTTACACAAGATGTTTCTGTTTCATTTTACTGCCATTTTTAACACTTTTAATTACAGACAACTCTCTTCTACTGGGACCACCCTGGTGCAAAAGCATGAGAATTATACTGTGTGTGTGCAATGAAGCAAAGTAACCAGGATAAAAAATAACACAATATTTGCACACATAAACAAAGAATAATATCGTACAAATCAGTTTTTGCAATTCCTTAAAAACAGATTCAGTTATGTAATGCTGATTTAACACTTTACACATGTTTCCACCATTTCATAAAGATAAGACACTCCCAAAAACAACAGAAGTTTAGATCCCCACCCTTCATTCATTGACTAAATTAAATCAACTGGGTTTCGGGATAAACGAAAAGAAAACTAAACAGCAAATGCGTTATTCTGAGTAGAGTTGTCACGATACTAAAATTTCAATAAGGAACAAACGCAAGACTTTTACTTTAGACAATAGAATGTGATTTTCAACATTAAATCAAAGCACTTTCTTTTATATTACCATGTTGTCTTACCTCAGTGGTCTAAAGTTATTCAGGAAAGGTTCATTTCGGTCTTGTGAGTGTGACTTTTTAGTACTGAACCTGCTCAAATAAGTATCTACTTTCAACACTAGTTTTAATATCGATTAGTATCTGATTTTCAATACTTTGACAAGCCTAATTCTGATCTGTATGCTATTTAAATGTAGAGTCCTTGAGCATATATTCTAATTACTCTACTTTATTAATGAGGATTTATTTATTTATTTACAGCTAATTGTTTTTTGTTTTGTTTTGTTTTTTACAGTTTGAAGTAGGGATGCAACAATAACCGGAATATCGTGATACTGTATCGTCAAAGTTCTCACAATAATATCGTGGACCATCACAATATATTGAATTACAAGTCTCTTTTCTTAAATTAAGAGTTATGGTGCAGCAAAAGCTTAAAAAAGACAGAGGGAACTACATAGACCATGATCCTTTGCTCCATTTCAGTATAGACTATAAGAAGAAATAACAGTTCTAAGCACTTTTAAGCCTTAGTTCTTTGGATTAAGTCTTGTCAAGGCATTTTGAGAGGAAAAAGTAGCATAATTACAGTTTTGTTAACCTCCACAAAATGTCACAATAAATATCGTACTGTGAGATGTGTGTCGTGCAAATATATAGCGTGTACTGAGAGATTTGGACTTTGTTACATCCCTAATCGTGAGCTTCCTCATCATATCGTGAGCTTTCCCAAAATATCGCAATAAATATCGTACCATGAGGTTCATACTGTCACAATATCCTATCATGAGACTTGGATATCGTTACACCCCTAGTTTGAAGTAGCAATGGTTTCAAAACTGCATGTTTACAAATGTGCTAAATACTCGTAAAGAGAATTTGGATATTATATTACATGCATTTTTCATTTCATAATACTGTTTAGGTGTCATCACATCATAATAATCATGATCCACTTGCACGGTAATTCCATAATACTTTCAAGGAAAGAGCCCATATTATGCTATTTTCAGATCTATGTTATAATGTTGTTTCCTCATCACAAACAGACCTGGACTTTTGTTTCATTCACACATAAGGGTCTAAATATCAAAATATCTATATATCATATCGTTTAATATGATACAGTATCGATATCGTGGGCTGCTGTATTGTTATATCATCAAGAAATTTTTTGGTATATTTTACTAAATTATTTTGTTACAGTGCTACAGTTTTGTTGCTTGTTTAGAGGAAGGAAACTCTTTTCTGTGACACATTTCCCTTTTTTTTTAAATAGTTTTAATTATCCAAATGAGTGTGTTTGATATTAACTTTGCACAAGAAGTGGTTTAACAAAGACTTTTAGTATCACAGCCATGATTTAGCCCTCACTGTATCGAGATATGTATCGCATCGTGGCCTATGTATTGAGATATGTATTGTATCTGCAACGTCTTAATGATACCCAGCCCTAATCACACATGTTTAACACACAAACCCTGCATATTAAGGCTGAGTTCTTCTCTCAGTCAGAAACCACTCTGTTCCAACTTGTGACGTCATGTGGTGATACATAAGACTGAGAATCAAAGGGTCCCTCACGATTCGATACTATCATGGCACACGATACCATAATATCACAATATAGTGATAAATGTGATCATTTGTCATTTGTATCACACACCATATGGCTATTCAGTGCTTCACTATAGTTTGATACAATTATAAAACTTTATGTTATGCATTATATTATGTATTGTAGATTTTATGCTGCCTGAAATATGAACTTTAGGATAATAAATGAATGAATGAATGAATGAATCTATCTATCTATCTATCTGATATGTTGCTATTTTTTAAGATCCAAATACATTTTCGCAAAGATATTTCTTTGTTAAACCACTTCTTGTGCATCTATTTTAATCATCAAAACAGTGAATATACCAAGTGTATTGCATAATCAAGTTTCATTCCACTAAATAAGCAACAAAATTGTTGTGCGTTCACAAAAGATTTCCATTTCCACAAAAGACCATTTCAGCCCTACAATTGCCCATCTCTACTGTACAGGAAAGGTACGCGTTAACTTAAAAACTAGCTCAACATGACTTCACAAGGTTAAGGTCAAAATAAAAAACTGCGACACACCCCTGTTGAGACGGTTGGTATAAATAAAACTGTTAAAATAGCACGTGACATTGTCATAATCAGAGGAACTTCTGTAAGTGCATTTTTCTGCCTTATGGTCATTTTCAAGCATGGTTTTCTGTATTTTATCTAAACAAATGACAAATTATGCCCTTCTTTACTGTTAGCAGGGTCCAAATCGGTAAAAAATATAGACACCTGGGACATGTCTTGTTTAAAACTGGGACACTGGTTTTGTATAAATCTGCTTGGACACAGGACACGAGCTCCAAACTGGGACTGCGCTGGGCAAATAGGGAAGTCTGGTCACCCATTTACAAGGTGGAACAAAGCGTTTTGAGCTTTGGAGACAGACAGAAGAATAATAAAAGATTACTCAAACATGTGTGAATGAAACAAAACACAACTCCAGGTCTGTTTCTGAGGAGGTAACAGCGTCATGACATGGTTTAAAGCTCACGCGAGTCAATTGTGTGTAATATACAAAAATTTCAGCCCTAGAATTGTCAAGCTCTTCTGTACAAAAGATAAAAAGTAGATGTTAACTTAAAAACTACCACAACATGATATCACAAGGTGGATAGAGCGGTTCGAGGATTACTCAATGATTACACACATTCCAGAGAAAAAACCCAAGTAGATAAAAACCCTGTGGGGAAAACAGTCTTAATTCCAAATACAAGGTACGCTTCATTAAAGAGCCTGCACCTGATTTTAATATACTCATGTCGATCATTTTACATAGAAAAGGTAATAACAATGTAGAAGCTACAGACTGGTCACTTTTTTTTTTTGTCCAATCAGGCATATTGTTACTAATCCAATCCACTTTATTTCTATAGCAGATTTTATAAACAAAAACTGTTTCCATAGTGCTGCAGATAGAAAAAAAAAAGCTCATTCATTACCCAAAGATGTCTCAAAGCTCACAATAGTAATTTTTGCGCAATATTGAGGGTTCCCACTCTGACAAAATTTCAAAACTTTTCCATGACATTCTCATGATCTAAAGTGAATTTTCTATGAATTTACGGCACCTACGTGTGTAGAATTGATCATACTTTTAGGGCTAAATATGAAATGTTAAGCCTTTCCACTAGGGCTGGGTATCATTAAGAAGTTGCAGATACGATACGATACACACCTTGACACACAGACCACTATATGATACAAATATCGATACAGTGCACTTTCGATTTGATACAATATTATTCAAATTGATTCGATACTGTTCAATAAAAACTGTGGCTGTGATACTAAAAGTCTTTGTTAAACCACTTCTTATGCAAAGTTCAAATGAAACATTTTACTCTTTGAAACAGTGTAAATGTCAAATGTGTTGCATAAGTTTCCTTCCAGTAAACAAGCGACAAAATTATATATTGTGATGACCCATGGTATTATTGTGAGAGTTTTGACGATACAATAGCATATTTTAGTTATTGTTTAGGGATGTAACGATATCAAAATCTCACGGTACGATATTTATGGCGATATTTTGGAGTGGTTAATATAATTGTAGACAGGATACTTTTTGCATTTAAAATACATCGACAAGACTTAGATATGAATCATTACTATCATAACCCCAAGATTTCAAGTAAAAAACATATTTTTTCATATCGTCTGCGCTGAAATGAATCATGAGATATGTAGTTCCCAATGTTTTTTAGCTGTTGCTACTATAAAACAATACATTTCAGCAAAGGATCTTATTGTGAGACTTTTGATGATACAATATCGCAGTATTCTGGTTATTATTTAGGGACGTAATAATAACAAAATCTCACAGTACGACATTATCACGATATTCATTTCAAAGTACGATATTTATTGCAATATTTTGGAGTGGTTAATATAATTGTAGACAGGATACTTTTTGCATTTAAAATACACTGACAAGAGTTAGATGTGAATCATTACTAAGAATGTAACGATATCAAAGTCTCATGATATGATCAAGGTATAAACCTCACGGTACGATATTCATTCCGATATTGTGGAGAAGCTCACGATATGATGGAGAGGCTCACGATGTAACAATATCCAAATCTCTGGGTACGATACTTACACAATATACATCTCACGATACGATATTTATTGCGATATTTTGTGGAGGCTTACAAATACGAATATGCCTTGACAAGACTTAATCCAAAGAAGTAAGACTTAAAAGTGCTTTAAAATTGTTATTTCTATTATCTATTATAGTCTACGCAGAAATGGAGCAAAGGATCATGGTCTGTGTAGTTCCCTCTGTCTTTTTTTTAGCTATTGCTGCACCATAACAATTAATTTAAGCAAAAAAAACATGTAATTTGATATTTTGTGATGATCCACGATATTATTGAGACTTTTGACGATACGATAACACGATATTTTGGTTACTGTTACATCCCTAATCCCAATAATTAAAGTGAAAAGAAAAAAGAACTTGTAATTCGATATATTGTGACCGCTCTCGATATTATTGTGAGACTTTTAACAACACGATATCATGATATTTTGGTTATTACTATTATAATAACACAGTACAACATTATCACGATATTTTGGAGTGGTTAATATAATTTTAGACAGGATTTTTGCAAGTAAAAAACATATTTCTTCAGGTGTTACTACTATAAAACAATGCACTCAACCAAAGGAACTTGTAATTCGATATATTTTGAGCGCTCTCGATATAATTGTGAGACTTTTGACGATACCACGATATCACGATATTTTGATTATTGTTACATCGCTATTATTGTTGCATCCTTAATGAATATAGGTGCTTTACCTGTATAATAACACATAACAACACGTAGATTTCATGGTATTTTGCAAAGAAGTTCACGTGTGCCATCTTCCTCCAGGACTGCGGTAGTCAGCAGCCGAAAAGTGCTGACTCATGTTTAGCCGCTTTACCGTAATCTCCCGTAGTTTCATAACCACGTCCCAGAACTATTATTTACTGGCGATCACACTTTTAACTCCACTATTTCAGACAAAATACAGTTACAGAAGCTTTTTATCTAATCTCTAAAGCAGCGTGCTAGGCCAGAACCCTCCCATCAACACGCACGCTGCATTCACGTTATTATTTCTTAAATGCAGATAAAAAAAGGTAAACACAGCTTTGTTTGGGTATTAAATGTGGTATTTACCTGTCAGGTGCAGGCGGAAGGGGACGCCATGAGTCAAAAGTCCTGCTGGATGGTTCTGATCCGGTTCTGGTCTGGTCACATCCGAGCCGCGGAGCTGTTCTCGTCATGTGACAGCGCGAGCCGGAAAACACGCACGGCGCATGCTCAGTGTGAAACCTGGAAAATACCTTCACACAAACTTTCTGCAGGGTTGCCAAAGTATGAAAATGTAATGCACAAATGACACTTTTCTCTCCACGTAAACTGTAGAAACTGGAAAAAAAAAAAAAAAAAAAAACAATACTCAAGAGGGTAAAAGTTGCAGATATTTCAGAAAAAAAAAAAACAAGAAGTGGATAAAATAGATCAGTGTTTCCCAAACTTTTTTTTTCTGGGGACCCATGTTTTAAAAGTCACAAACCTTCGCAACCCAAGCCAATAGATATTACCCGTAAATCACAAAATAAAGGTGGAACATTAATATGGATATTTTATCGTGCCTCTCTGAACAATTAGTATTACTCAAGTTTTAAACAACGAAAATGAGTAATTGAACCAGCAATAAGAGGATCCAAAAGTCGACTATTTGGACATTAAATGTAGCTCATTTCTATTTCTTTTCAACATTCAATTGAACCGGCAACACTAGAACAAAAAAAGTCAATAAAACAAGTACAAAAAGATTAGAAATTATACAAAACATGCCTTAACATTTCAACATTTCTACTGAGATTGGTGGGCCTGTCTGTTTTTGTTGTTGTTGTTTCCAGTCCCGGGTGCAGAAGGAGAGTGCAACACGCATGTCAGTCTCAGAATGGTATATTGCAGACCTACATGCAGATCGACCCAAAAAAATCTCTTGCGACCCACCAGTCTTTGGGAAACAATGAAGTAGAGCAGGGGTCTCCAACCTTTTTTTCTCCAGTGAGCTACCTTTACAAAACTAAAATGCCAGAGAGAGAGCTACCAGTTTCAGCAGTTGCAAAGAAGCTGAGTAAATATAAAAACCACGGCAAACCTTAGATGGAGAACAGTTAGATGCTTATAAAACATAAACCATTATCCATTTATCGGTGCCTCAAAATTACACATTTACAATGGTATTTAATAAAATTTTACTTATTATTCACAATACATAGAATTCAGAAATCCCTTGGTGAGCTACTTTGAAGGGAGTGAAGAGCTACAGGTTGGAGACTCCTGAAATAGAGTAACCAGATGTCCCTATTTACCCGGGATAGTCCCAGTTTTGTGCCCTGTGTCCTCTGTCCCAGCAGATTTGTCCCAATTTTCTACAAGAAATGTCCCAGATGTCCCTACTTTTGACCAATCTGTTCCCTGCCAACGGTAAAGACAGGCATTTGTTTAGTTAAATACAGAAAAGCTGTTTAAAAATGACAAAAACTCAAAGAAAATGTGACTATACCGACTCACATGTTCATCATGAATGGGCGGAGTCCAGAACAATTTTCTTTAATTACGCACGCGATTCTCAATTTTATTATTACCAACCGCCGCCCCAAACCGAGAGTGTCCCAGGTTTGATTTGGAAAATTTGGTCAACTTAGGATAAAACCAACGATGTATTAAATAGTATTATAAAAACCCCATATATGTCAGTTTTCATAGTTCACTTGGGGGAAAAAAAAGTGTCTTAGTTCCAAATACAAGGTACGCTTCATTAAAGAGCCTATACGTGATTTTAACACATTCATGTCTTTCATTTTACAAAGCAAAGGTAATAACATAGTTTAAGTAATAACTAATGCTGAGGCTACTGACTGGTCAAGCGCATTGTTACTAATCCAGTCTACTTTATTTCTACAGGATTAAAAAATAAATAAACAGTTTAAAAGTGCTGCACATAGAAAAATAAAAATGAAATAATCTACAGTTTAATACAATAATAACATAATTTAAAAAAAAAACTTATAAAAACAAATAAATAAAACCATAAACTAGATCTATTAGAAAAAAAATCAATTAAAAAAATCAATTAAACAGATTGGCTTGTTACTAAGAATCATGGGAAACCAACTGCCTGCCACTTTCCCAGACACGATTCTCTGTCAAGGGTGAATCTCCAAAAGTGACAAAATCACAACTAGATCGGAAAACTATATGGAAAAGCTGCATGACGCCTGAGTTATTTAAATGTCATGGTGCATAGTCCAGGTCCTTTAATCAATCAATAAGTCTTTGTGTTAGATGTAATGCTCATTGACGGTGAAAGTCTACGTGTGTAGCCACAGCTGCCCCTGGGGTAGACTGACAGAGGTAAGGCGGCTTATCAGCACCATCGGCCCGTCCAGTCACAGTGACTCATTCTCACGCCACGTTCATAAACAGGCAAGGCGGGTGAATTGTCTTGCCCAAGGACACAATAAGATAAACGTATTTACACTAGTTGTAATGTATAATGTACAGGTGTCCTATGCTGCCATGTGTTTTAAATTAAATGATTATAAAATGAATCAAATCCAGACAAATTTCTTTATAAAACATTTAATTTCATGGCATTGCTAAAAAATAAACATTTGTACAAATTATTATAGCATGATCTTTACACTTGCCTGATAGAAAACGGAAAATGTTCTTGATATTGTTGATTTCGATTAGGCTGAAGCGTATTAAAACACTCACTGGTCCTCAGGTTAAAGCTGCACTATGTAACTTTTTGTTTGGGGGTTCATCACCTGATTGTTTCTATGGATATGTCATTGCTCTGCCTGGAATATTCCACAGTATGACATTAAAAAGCTCTACTTTACAATTACAGGTGGTTTTATAGCTCAAAAATACCTAGAAAAACAGGTATTCTGACTGTGAGTGGGGTCGCCTCTCCACAGATCTGACCTTTTATTTGGGCTGGTTTGGTCTCCATGAAGACAGACAGATTTAACACCATACTGTGAAACATTCCAGAAAGAGCAATAACATCTTCTTGGAGAAAAGCATTTGACAGACCCTCCAACAGAAAAGTTACACAGTTCACCTTTAAGTCCTCACTCGGTGCTTCAGTGGATCCTTTCGTAGAACAGGAGGTAGGCCTGACAGCCCAGGACTTTGCTCTCGCTCACAGGCTGGACGCTGGTGTCGCTGATGTGGAACCAGGATCCTTTGGCAGGCTCCGTCTCGCCTACAACATTTAAAAGTGTTAGTGAAGGAGTAGGCCTGTCATGATAACACAGTTTTACAGTCCAGCGTCAAATCGTCTGCGTCACGGTGTCAACATAAACCCACTACACAGAGCGTCTTCGCTGACCGACGTGCACCCCCGAAATTTTCTAACTACGCATCAAAACAATGCAGACAGTAAGTGAAGTGATGCAGACAATAAGGGCTGTAATTGGTCCTCTCTATTTCCAGTGCTCCGCTTTCCCGATTCATTTTGTTGTTGCTGTGGCGGTGAATAAATAAATACAAATCCATAAATCAAAAACGGCGGTGACAAGGCGACGGCGGCAGTGTGCATTGAGTGGACGCAGAACTAAACTTCACCCTTTAGAAGTAAGATCAATGGCGAATAAAGTCATGGGGACAAAGGGGTCTGTTGTCCCAGGCCCCACTGTTTTAGGGGCCCAGAATTGGACCCTCTTCATATTAATTTATATTACGGTAATTTCTGGACTTATACAGATGGTACACAGATTTGTTTAAAATGTTTAATTATATATTGGTACATGCTTTTTCTGTCAGGTAATAACTGTTTGTTATATTAACAAACAAAATTAGTGGACCTCAGAAAAAAAAAAAAAATTTCTAAACATTTTTTCAGCTCAAGTTGAGATAATATTTTTTTTTTTTAATTTTTGCACTGAAATAGCTGTGCTTTTGTACAATGATGCCGAGCAGTGCCTGTAACATGGCAGAAAAACGACAATATTACAACAGGATTATTAAACTGTCACTTCATGCTCTACTGCGCATGTCTCTTACAGAAAGAGCCGCTCTCATTTTTTTATCATGTCCGTGTCTTGTAGGATTTCACGTCTATCCACTGTGTTGATAAACAAGTGTTAGAAATAAGTAGCGGCTTATAGACCAGAAATTACAGTATATTTATATAATTTCTTTCACGGGTCTGGATGAAGTACTCAATTTTGTTACTTAAGTAAAAGTACAGACACAGGGGCAAAAAGTTACTCAAGTAAAATGAAAAATCATGAAAAAATCTAATAAGTAAGTAAAAGTATTAAAGTACCTGTTTAAAAATGTACTTAATGAGTAAAAAGTAGTGAAGTTAAAGTTCGAAGTATCCACTGTAAAATAAACTTGAGCAAGCAGAGATGCCTAAAACGTGTACTGAAGTATTGCACTTTTGTTTTTGTGAAAGTGACGCATGCTTGAATGAAACTGCTTAAGTTCAGTTTCATTCAGGCATGCATCAATAATACTTTTTGTTTTATTTAAAGCTCCCTCTCCAGAGTTCAAGAAATTTGGTTTCACTTCCACCAGTCTAAGTCATGCAGCAGTAAACAAGGGAGTGGTGTGAAATTAGGGCGATCTGTTTTCATACACTATGCATGCAAACCTATCAATATTTTCCTTACTGTAAGCAGGATCACCTCTCCATAGATCTGGCCTGTAATCTGGTTTGGCAGCGTCATCTGCTCGTCTCCAGGAAAACAGATGTTTAATGCTATACTGTGGAACATTCTAATCACTTTTAGTATCAACTTCACCACAAAAAATTTAGTTTGAAACATTGCTTAAAACTAATTAGCTACGTGATAACTAATGACCACAAGACCTACCATTTTATTAACTTTTACTTTATTTATTTAATTAAAAGCTGTTTCTGAAATTTTATAAAGCATTTTTTTGGAATTCTGTGTTTTAAATTTGTTGTTAATGTCTAAAACAACTTATGAATATAAGTTAGCACAGCTGTTTATCCCCCGTCGTGTCTTTAAACTCTGAAGATTTGAATTTGAATTGAAAGTCTATGCAAAAAATTTATGGAAAATTTACTATTGGACCCAGAGTGACTTCGAAGTGAGTGTGACTGTCAAGCTCCAGAACATCTCACTGAAGAGAAACAGGTGACTAGCCTGATTCATTGGCTAGTCACTTCGTGGAAACCGTCTGACCGAGCAGCATTAGGATTCGTTTGCTTGATGGTAGGCAGGTAAATTTTTTTTTTTTTGTAATGCACCAAATCCCGGAGGAAGAAGGGCAATGACATCTTTGCTCTTGATAAAATTCACCAAACATTGTCTTTGTTCCGGCTTTAAATCCTTGATCTCGGAAATCTTTGCCAACACAGAATATCTGTCTTTATCTACATCCATCTCGACCGCTTTGTTTACTGTTGTGCTGTACCACAAAATGGACCCAGACAGGCGCTTGAGTTTAACGTCATGGCTTCACAGCTCTTTGCTGACTGGTCGGTGCACAGTCTACAACATCTGGCGTTCTTGCAAACCGTTAAGTGTATTCTGATTCCTGACCTAGTCGCTGGAGAGAAATGAAATTGAGCGAAGGTTCTGTAGTGCACCTTTCAGAGTTATCTTTTTCACTGACACAATTTCAGAACTTTTCCATGACTTTTTCATGACCTAAAGTGAATTTTCCATGACTTTACGGCACCGTACATGTGTAGAATTGATCAGACTTTTAGGGCTAAATATGAAATGTTAACCCTTTCCACTCACCTTATGGTTTGGTATTATAGTTTTTTAACATTCAAAATACTGTCAGTGCATTTATTGTCGTCTCTTTTAAACAAAAGGAGCAGATGTTCGGAAATAATCGTAATAGCCTAATAATTACTGAAAAAAACGCTGTGTTGCGTGAAAGAGATACTAAAATTCCATGACTTTTCCAGGCCTGAAAAATGACATTTTCAATTTCCATGACTTTTCCAGGATTTCCATGACCGTGGGAACACTGACCTTTAACCAAAACACTTCTCCTGGTATAATTCTGGTAAGGACACATGGTGAACAGCTCTTTGGGGTTGATAATTATTATTAACGTGGTCTCTTGTTATCTTTTTTGCTACTTATTTAGAATTTATTATTACCATTTATGTTTTTTCTCTTTGTTTTTAAAATATATTGTGATGTGTGAGCCACTGTGTCCAAGTAATTTCCCTTCTGGATCAATAAAGTCTAATGTCTAATGATATTACACAACACTTCTCTTTAAATTGTCAGGAACACTTACCCTGTGCAGAAATGCCATTGGACTGGGACTGGGCAAACTTTGGCCGAACTTTGACATAGGCCGTGTAGTGACCGGAGCGCATTGTCCCACTGTGCTCCACTATACCATACAGACTGTACAGGATCTTACAGTCCCCCTCCTCCGCGTCCTGTGTGAGGAAACAAGTGCTCAGGGCATTTCATAAATCGAGCCTGTAAATGTGAAGCAGCCGTTTGTGTCGAGTCATCGTTACCTTGCAGTTTAGCGCACAGAAAGGAGCCAAATCCAATACCACTGGAAACTGGACGTGCCGGTTTACTTTACAAATACTGAAGCCGTTCTACAAAAGAATAGGGACTTTGTATAATATAGTGTACAAAATAATCTCATTAAAGGAATAAAAGTGTGTCTATTCTGGTATTTAGTAATAAGCCTTCACACGTGTAGATCCTTAGTTCACTTTTGTTAATTTTAAACCACTAGACTGGGTTAAGTTCAAACAGACATTTTCTGAGAAGTGAAGCGGAAAAAATATGGGACAATGCAGGCTTATTCAAACAAAACAGGAAAAGTTAAAGGTACACTGTGTAACTTTTCCTTGGGGGTTCGTCACCTTCTTGTTTCTACGGATATGTCATTGCTCTGCCTGGAATGTTCCACAGTGTGACATTAAATAGCTCTGCCTTACATTAATTTGACTACAGGTGGTTTTATAGCTTAAAAATACCAAGAAAAACAGGCATTCTGACTGTGAGTGGGGTCTCCTGTCCACAGATCTGACCTGTAACTTGGTCTGGTGTTGTTGCCGTGAAGATAGAAATTTTTAATGCCATATTGTGAAACATTTAAGACAAAGTAATAACATCTCTATAGAGAAAAGAATATCGTCACAGTATGAACGTGACGGTTCGATATTTATTGCGATATCGTGGGAAAGTTCACGATATGGTGGGGAGGCTCAAGATTAGGGATGTAACAATATCCAAATCTCGGTACGATATTTTCATGATATACATCTCATGGTACTATAATTTGTGGAGGTCAAACTTCTATAACTGTTAAAATGCTTATTTTTTTCTCTTAAAAAGCCTTGACAAGACTTAATCCAATGAACTAAGACTTAAAAGTGCTTAGAACTGTTATTTCTTCATGTAGTCTGCACTGAAATGGAGCAAAGGATCATGGTCTTTGTAGTTCCCTCTGTCTTTTTTTAGCTATTGCTGCACCAAAACTCTTAATTTAAGCAAAGAGACTTGTAATTCGATATATTGCGATGGTCCATGATATTATTATGAGAAATCTGACTATACGATATCACGGTATTTCGGTTATTGTTACATCCCTACTATATACCTTTAATGGTGAGAGAGACATTTAAACACACTAAAAAGCAAGCAGTAGATATTTTACTTTATTTTTTAAAAGCAAACTGGCTAAAAGACAACTACACTTTAATTTCCAGACATGTCAGTAATAATAAACATATAAATTGTACCTGTTGGAATCTTTTCAAATGCAGTGTGAGCACAGGAGGGGGAGAGGAAATCAGCATTTGCTTCAAAGCATCGGTGTACACATTCTTCTTGGAATCTAAACAATAAAGGAGTGAGTTATAAGTTGTGTATTCAAAGCCATTCACATTTGCATTCCAACTAGTTTTTAATAAACAGGACACAGGCCACTGGTTTCAATATTTGCTTCAAATGACATTTGGATCCATAAAGGTAGAATTTATTAGATTCATAGTACCAAGTGTACATACCTCTACCTAGGCCTGTCAGGATAACACATTTTGAAGTAGGATACATGGCACAATAAAATAGAGATAATAAATATATTGAAAGAAAATTCTGCCACTGATACAAAAACTCTAAAGAATTATCTCCCCAAAAATATTCCAAATGTGCAATAGTTAAAAAACACAAACTCTAACAAATAAATAAATAACTAAATAAATAGTAAAAATGATAAATAAAATGTTTGCATCTATAATGAGCCATAGAAGTTACTGATTCAACTCTCTATGGCTCAAATATTATTGCTTATTGCAGAACTAAAAAAAATAACAAAAAGTTTCCCACTAGTACAAAGAAAAATTACCCATGATAAATACTGACCTACCAAAGTTTTTTTAATGAAAAATATTATTTAAAGGTCCCATATACACAACATTGATTCTTGTGAGCATTAAGCCATGTGAGAATGCAGTGTCCTCCTCAAAAACAGACCTGGAGTTGTGTTTTGTTTAATTCCAGTATGTTTAAATAATCCTAATTTATTAGTGTGTGTCTGCATCTCCAAAGCTCAAAATGACCTTTCGTTCAGAAGAAATAATAAATTACAGAGCTGAAATCATCCAAATGATTCTAGTGAAGGTGTATGGAGTTTAAAAACACAGTGGAGCACTTATTGTATTACCACATGAGTTTTTTTTTTTCCAGTTTGAAAGAAGAACTCCACCTAAATATGCAGGGTTTGTGTGTTAAACATGTGAATGAAACAAAACACAACTCCGGGTAAGTTTTTGATGAGAAAACATTGTAATATGAGTCCTTTAAAAAATAGATTCTGATGCATTTTGAATCATTTGAGAATTGTGCACTGAAGTATCACATATATCCCTGAATAAATTTTTTTCTTACACCCCTTACACCATATTAGTAATGATAGTGACAGGCTTACAGACCTCCTCCTTTGCCTGGGCGGTGCTGGCGCTTGGTGCAGGTGAGGCAGAGCAGGCTGTTGTTTTGGGTGAGCGTCTCCACCTCGGAGAAGTGGAACAGGCAGGACCTCACTGAACACTCCTGCTTCTCCGGGGCCGTCCTCTGGGCCAGGGTTTGGAAGGCAGAGTCTGGGTCCTGGTTCACCACGGTGTATTCTGCGGGCTCCCCTGGCTCCCCTGACTCCCCTGGCTCCACTGGCTCCCCTTCGTGACACTCCATGCTCTCATCCGCTACCTTCTCACAGTCTTCTATAAGCGCTTGGTCTAGATCTTCCTCTAAATTGGTCTCTTCGTTTTGAACGGAGTCAGATGTTTTGTCTAAAGTGCTGCCATTGGGTTGCTCTTCTGACAGGAGGGTAAAGCGGTTGCTGGTGGTTGATTCCTCCTCGTCCTCCTTCTCCTCTTCCTCGTTTTCTCCCACGGTAGCGTTCTGGTCTTTCGGCTCAGAGTTGGCGTCCATGAGCTCGCCTGAAGGTTCTTCTCCACTGGCTTTTTCTTCATGGGATTCAGTCTCTTTGTTCTCTTCATCGTGCTGCGTGTTGCCATTGCTTTGAGGGGAGGTTAGGCTGCCTAAAGAGGTTTTACTATCAAGTTTCTGCTGTCTTTTTTGTTGCTATGGGAAAGAAAAAAAACAATGATCAGTAGATTTAGGATCTAGTGATTCATGAACATCACAAGTTGAAAATTAAAATGGTATGACATAACAGTAACTTAACAAGAGAAATTTACTTTTGAGCTTAACTCATGATCAAAAGTTGGCTCATGATAGATTGATATGTGTAGCATGTCAAATATTTGAGTGCTACACATCAGTCTTTCTGTGCAAGGTTAGGAGCAAGAGTCTCAACACCAGGGGCCTCATTTATAAAGCTTGCTTACGCAAAAATCCGTGCGTGCGCGCTTCCTACGCCAACCGCGGTATTTATAAAACTCGACTATGGCGTGGCTCTTTGCTTAACTCTACACCAACTCGGGACCTCCTGTAAGTTCTACACAAAGTCTGGAGACACAGGGAAAAAGCGACACTCATGGAGAGGAGCAGAAGTGAACAGAGTTTGAGGAAGTGTTTGATCAGAAAATCCACATATATAGAAGAATTACCTTCAGATTTGCGCATTTAAATGTTTGGTTCACCAAAACAAGGAGAAGGGCTGTTTATTCCACTCATTATTCTCCACAATATTATACATTTGAAACTCGTGCAAGAGCGGGGCCACGTTCCCGGACACTCGGTGTAGCGCAGAGTCTCCCACAGTCCACACCGCGACCATAGACTTCTATAGAACACAGTCTGTGACCAACACAGAGGACGAAATAATGACCCGACCTGAGAGAAAACTCTTCCCTTGGACGCAGCAGGAGCCAGACTTTGATTTAATGAAAGCAATTTTAACACTTTTACTTCAGTCTTTATGCACCGAGCGCCAGAGTGACCTGAGTCTGCGGACAACACGAAGCCTACTGCCCGAACCTGACCCCAACCAAAATCTTCCCTACATTTTTGTGTAATGGGGAACTCTTGTACATGAGAGCTGCTCTCTGACTGTATGAAGAACAGAATAATGCCCGTGCCCGTCCCGACCCAGACCCACACTCACAGAGGTCAGACCCACACTCACAGACCCAGACCCACACTCACAGGTTCAGCAGTTAGGATGTTTCGTGTGTACTTTAATTGGCAGAGTAACATCTGTATCTGATGTGTTTCATGCTAAATCTCCTCGTATCCCTCCCTCGCTCCTTTCCCTCTCCAGGGCATCTGAATCTCTCGCACGCGCTCATAATTTGACCATTCAGATCAGCGCGTGCACGTATCTACGTGTATATGTATATATATACAGGGCCAGTCCTCAGACAGATTTAAAAATATACCGATAAAACTCTTGAAACAGCGAAAAAACACATGGGCTTTACTGCAAAGATGTGCTGCCTAAATATTATAAAATATGATTAAATGAACAGATGAGTCATTGTTGTCACTTTTAGTTTTGTATTTATTTATTAAACCTTGTTTAATAAAGTCTTTAATAAAGTCCTTGACGTGACTACGTGGTGCTGCATGGTGCTGCATGGAGCGTCCTCCGCCCTCTGTCCCGCTTGTCTCGGTCAAACCCACTGATTATCGGCTCATGTTTAGGGAAATCTCATTCACCAGTCACTTTACATGCTCCTTTTATGGTGAGGTGGAGGTGTGGAGAGGGCGTGACGTGACATGTGTTTACATGCGCAAATTGTAGTTGCAGGTGGGATTTATAAAGCAAAGATTGCGTGGTTTGGTGCTTGCGGTGGGTTTTCTAAATGTGGAGTTTGCGTGGCGCATGCCTTGTCGTAGCTACTAGGCGTACGCACTAACTTACGACAACTCCTGCGCAGTTTTTTATAAATGAGGCCCCAGAACCTCACCTTTAGGGTTGCCAACCGTCCCTTGAAAAACGTAATTGTCCCATATTCAGAAACAAAAGTACGCGTCCTGTATTGAGCTGAAAAGGGACACACTTTGTCCCGTATTACCATAAGAATCAAAAATAGTGTGTGTAGTCAATGGATTGAATGAATACATGGCACTTTACAAGAAAATTTACAGTAAACGTATTCTCAGCCTCTTCTGCTCTGATGCCAATGAGCTGACAGCACACTCACATTCCGCTCATTATCTCATTGGTCGAGGCTGCTTGCATTGCGAAGAAGATACCGGAAAACGACAAAGCAGCGTGGATGACAGTGGCACCGGCAGTGTTTTACAGTATCGAAATGAGCTACCTGCAGCCTAACGTAGGTATTCTGCCGCAAATCTAACTCTCACATGTCCATGCTTAAACGCTTAACTGGTCAAAACATACAATAAAACCAATACACTTTTAAAATGTGAATTGTTACTCCACTTCTGCCTCAGGAGTTCAAATGGACAGCATTTAACCTCTAACAGCGCTTCGGGGTTGTGCGCATCCTCAGTAGCGCTAGGTAGCTCAAATCGACAGGACACCGGCCTTTCCAATGAGGTGTCCCTTTTTTTTTTTTTTTTTCAGGGAGTTGGCAGTCCTAGCTCCACCCAAACCACAATGCTGCTCCGTGATTGGCCAAACACAACAACAGGAACCGGGCAAGATGGATTCTCACGAGTTTGAGAAATGAAATCACAAATATCACGAAAATCCATCTTACTCACCTCGTTTAAAACATAAAAAACATGTAACAAACACAAACTGCCATTTACTCATCCATCAATAAATTATCTTATATTATGGCATTCAGATTCAACTAAATATCCAAGAGATTTTGCAGACTTTTCCTGAAAAATCCAGTGTTCGTTTACTTTTTGTTATCTTAAATCTGTAAATATTTTGACTGTGAATTGCGCTCACTAAAAGCTATTCTCTGATGCTTTAAGCTAAAATTCAGTAGAAAAGGTTGACAAACAAATACCTTAGCTTGTTTTTTGGCTTGCTTCTTGGCCTTCTTCTGCTGGTATTTGCTGCCACTGGGCATGTCATCGGTCCCGTTGGTCAGAACTGGGCTGTCCCTCTCGTCTTCTACCACATTATTGGACTTTTGGGCGGGTTTCTTTTGGAACTTTTTCCTATAGGCCTATAATACAGAGCAATGAAAAAATCAATGCAACGTCTGTGCCATTTCTCCGCATTAACGTCAGAAAAACCCTTACCTCATCAGAAACAGGAAGAGAAAGATCCAGAAACATCTCTTTGACGACTGACACCTACATGGAATAATAAGAGATAAAAGGCTTGATCAGAATTACTGAGTTTTTAAAGATAGGAGACACTGACATTACAGGTGCATTGTGTAACTTTTCTGGTACAGGGTCTGTCAAATGCTTTTCTTCATGGAGCAGTTATTGTCAGAGTATGGAATTAAACCTTTCTATCTTCACGGAGACCAAACCAAGTTCCAGGTCAGATCTGAGTAGAGGCGACCCCGCTCAGAGCCAAAATGCCTGTTTTTTAGGCATTTTTGAGTTATAAAACCACCAATTATTTACTAAACGTAAGGCAGAGTTGTTTAATGTCATACTGTGGAACTTTCCAGGCAGAGCAATGACATATCCACAGAAAAAAGCAGGTAACGCACGCCAAACAAAAAGTTACAAAGTCAAAATTCACTGCAGATTTCCCTGATCTGGCCAAGACTTTAAAACTTATATCAGGTTATTCATCTTGTTTTCAGATTTATTATCTACCTATTACTTCTGAGACTGATAAATTCTGGTCTTGAGGTAGTTTATTTTAGGATAATGTGTCAAGTGAAATTATCTTGCTGCATGGACAGATTTTTTACTTTCACTTTTTATTTTCTTGTAGGAGCCATTTGCTTATTTTGCTTATTCTAAAATAATTTTTGTTTGTCAATTAGTTTATTAACTTACTGGATGAAAAAAGGGTGATCCAATTTACTGAATACCGATGTACTGAAGACGCAATTCAAAACACGTTGGCATTTGAGATTAAATTAAATCATAGCGAAGTATATGTATATCGGAGTGCCTCGGATCTCCCTTTTTTCATCCAGTAAGTCATTTGCCCACTTGAGGTCTCAGAAGTGCACCTGATAATTATTATTATTATTATTTCACTTCCGCGGTGATCCAGCGAGCGCTCTAACTGCATCTACTTCTTCGCGTAAGTTTACTAATTTAGTTTTGTTAATTTGCATAATATATATTTTGCTATGTTAATATTATGTTTGTTCATTTTAGTCTAATTTGGTACTATTTACCTTTAGCATCTTTTCTGTTTTTGGTTTAACCTGTGGGTTACCGAGGGGGTAAAAGAGGGTGGTAAACGTAGACCAGAGTGCACCTGAGTGGGCCTATAGTTTTTTTATCTGTTGAGAGGAGAGGCAGCAAGAGCAGGGCTTAATCATGTATCCTTGTTGCTTTCCTAAAAACTGGAAATAAATCTTGGGAATGCAGCTCTGGTCATGAATATTGATTTGTTTTTTCCGTCACTGCGTAAACCCCACCCCATGGTGCCCAAAAGTGATTATTTCAGTGATGTTTAGTTCTGAGTTTGTTCACCGCTTTTGTTTATTATATTGCTTTGACAAATAATCACAATATTTCTGATAGATTTAAGTGTTTATATCTTGAATTTTGGCCTTGTTTTTTTTTTGCAGTGTTCAACATTGAGTGCATCTTAACACGCTTTCTAGTAACTGTGACTTCAGACTGCTAATTTTGGTATTGGTACAAAACACGGTGGGTCAGTGAGTGAGGCAGTGGCACACAAGAAACCACACAACAGCCTTTAACAACATGATTGTCTCTGTGGTGCTGACCACACGTACCGTCTTACACTGCTGACACATGACAGTGCTGGTCATCTCCCCTCCAAAAACCTGATCCACAAAGTTTTTCGGGAACGCGTTCTTTTCATATTCTGGAACAAAAACGAAAGTTACAAACACTGAAACGACTTAAGCCACAATTAGTCATATTTGAATATTAGAATACGTTACCTTTGACTAGTGTTTTCAGCTGCTCCTCACTTCCTTTTTTGGATTCTTTTAATGACGACATCAGCCCCGAACTCGCCCTCTGAAAAATCATTAAAGAATCATTTCACATCTTATGCAAAACTATGGATGTCGGGATTAATTCAAACAATTATTTAAACCTATTTGTGAATGAAAGCAAATATAGATTAAGATTAGATAAATTCAAAAATTGCTCTGTTTCTTTTTCTTTTTCTACAGACAGCTTTAAATACAGACACTTCTCTTATTAGTCAGTATTTGTGAAGCTCTGAGAGAGTGACAGGCAGGCAGTTTTGACCAATCAAAGTGTGACATTTCAGAAGAATTACATATAATTCTAAACGGCATTAGAGAAGTGGGAGCCTACTTTGATTTCCTCGGCTCTCATTCCGTCCAGCAGGTAGCGCAACAGCTCCTGACTGTCCTGCTGCTGGAAGCCCTTGAATCTGGCCGCTCTGCAGAAAATAGAATAAAATTTAAAAAATTCCTTATAAGACATGACATATTTATTAGTATATACTTGTCAAACAGTCAGTGCTTGAGAATAAAATGTCACTCACTTTTTACAAACTTGTGTGAACAGATCACGTGGGGTTACGACGTTCTTCTTAGATTCTTGGATTTCATTGAGGAGCTGGCACATGGTTAATGTCAGGGGTCCAGACTTTTCCAGATGGACTGACACTGGCTCCTTCATGTGAGAAAGCAAAACAGATTTAATACATGCTCTTGGTTACGTCTGTAAGTCTATAAAAATAATGGGTAAAATGTGACAAACCAGATTAGAAGAGTTATCAGGTTGAATGTTAAGTGTGATCTTCTCTTCTATGACTTTGTTCAGAGTGTCTCTTAAGATGTGGGTTTGGGAGAGATTCTGAAGAAAACAAAAGGAGAAGGGTTACTCTTAGTGGACTGGATAATCAATAATTCATAGAATACATAGATACAAGGTAAAAAAACAAACAACAGTGAAACACTTTCACTTTCACACTTTTTAAAAATAATAATAATTTGTTCAAATGGAGCAGAGACAGCATGACTGGAGCTCTGTTGTACTGTTCCACCTGCTTTCTCAATGTGCTCAACTGGTCTAAACTCACAAAAGTAACACACAGCTGCTAAAATCATAGGACTGCCCACATCCAACATTGCAGATCTTAACAACAGGGCTTTTGGACGCATTGCACTCTCCATAGAACAAAACTAAACTCATCTACTACAGGAACATCTCAGTCCTCTTCCCTCTGGATGGAGGTACAGGGCACTCAGGTGCAGCAGGGCCCGCTTTGGCAGAAGCCTGTTGCCCTTGGTTCTCACATTTCTAAGCTCCAGGCCCCGCCAAGTGTACTGTAATGTGTACTGTAATGTGTCTGTGTGTGTTGTGCTGTGTTTTTGCTGTATGTGCCAAACAAGCTCTGTGTGCGTGCAAATTAATTTAATAAAAGTCTAACGTCTAAAGTCTATAACTGTAGCAGGCCTACTTAGCAACAAATGTGTGTCAATCTGATGAACAGTTTGAGATAAATCCTACCAGGACCTCTCCATCCCCTTCCAAGTAGCTCGCCAAGGGATTTCTGAATAATTATATTGTTATAGACCCCTGCATTTGCATTTCATGTGGATAAAATATAAATTCTTATAAATATATAAATTGTTACATAATTTCTATTTTATCCTGATGTTTGAGAAGTAATTTATGTTTTACAATTCTCTACTTTGCAAAGGAAAAGACATTCTACAGCTCCCTTGCATTTGTTTACTTCTTATCAATTAATAAACATTCATATTTTCAAAACATTGTGAGGTACCTTGTTGTTTTAAATTAGTATGTAAATATTCAAAAAAAAAAAAAAAAAAAAGGGCAAACCCTGTTGTTTCCATCACTGTGGCATGTTTACCTGGATGACTGCATTGAAGAAGCAGGTGTTGCCCAGGTTACTGAGCCCCTTCACAGGGACACCCCTCCCCTCCTCTGGGACGCTGGGCTTGGTGACGCTGGGTTTGGCGACGCTGGGCTTGGTGGACTTGGCTGGACCCTCTCGCTTGGTCTCCTTCTTTTTGGGCTGCTCCTCATTCTCTTTATTTTCTTCCTGCTCCTCACTGTCTTCTAGTTTCAGAGCATCCAGTTTCTGCTCCACTTCTGACACGTCTTCCTTTATCTCTGAACAAAAGAAATATAGGATGTTATGATAAAGTGTTTATGACAGATTTACATATTTGTTTAGTCATTGCTTAAATGGTCATTTGTGAAGAAAATTTTAAAAGAAAGGATGAAATATACAGGACATAGTGCTGAGTTTTAAAAAGGAATCTAATATTCAAAATTCTATCCAAAATGCAGAGACAATTTACGCACAAAGACCAAAAGTTATGATATGATTCTAGCAGTTTAAACATATAATAAAATAAAATAAAGGGCCGTGTTTTATTTTTTGTCAAATAATAACTATTTGAAAATATGACAAGCTCATATGTCACATCTGACCAGAAAGTAAAATTATAACTTCACCAAAATGATCAAATTACAATTCTTAGTAAAATCTCATATATTATTGTATCAACTGCATTTTAGTGAAATGTGTAGTTCTGTGGCAGTCAAACTTTTCTCTCCAAGTATCACCAAAGAAAATATTTAGCTTTCTGAGTACCACTATGTAAACCAGGTCTATAACAGAACTACTCCAGGTCTTATCTGGGGCTAAACCAGGTCTAAAAGTGGATAACATAATTTCCACTGCAGTTCTAAACAAGAAATGATCAAAAGGAGGACAAAAAATTGATAAAAATCAACTGAGGAGCCGTCCACCACATGGAAGAGCTCTCGTTCCACCAGTAATGAGAAACACTTAGTAGTCTATCCCGTCGTGTACAGTTTAAACAGAGAGTGAAAGCAGTTGTGTGCATTTTCTGTGGACACACACTTTTATTTGGCCTCTTGGATGATTCTGTGGATGTCAGTTTCTTGAGGTTGGTGAGCAGCTGAGCTAAAAGCCCCGTCTGAGAGAACTGCACCTCGTCGTCACAGATGTAGCACCTGTGGAGGAGAAAAAATACCTTTATTCTCTGTTTTTTTGTGTGGTCCTATGTGTCTTTTATTTGTTTTTATGTTTTTTATTTACCTTTTTATTATTTATTTATTATTGGCATTTTTGCTCTGGTTTGATTTGACCAGTTTAATTGCCTTAATGAGGACTAGTGGAGTTAAACAGAGCTTTGCTTTATGTTTCCATTACATATATTTTATCTGTATTGTTTAGCACTTTGGAAACTGTTTTGTTTATGAAATATGCTATATAGATATTGATTATTATTATACTGACTAGACTGGGTCACTCCAAAACGTGTAGAAAAGTTAAAAAGCAAAGAAACTCACCAGACAGCCCAGTTGTCCAGACTGACCACTAGACAATGAGGGTCCGAGCGCGGTGTCTCGTAATGTTTGATGGCATGTTTATTCTCAGAATGTCTTCCACAGCCCTGGAAAAATGTATATCCCATTAATAAGAAAGCATCAAGAGCTGAACTTTTATCTTTTTTAAATCAAGATTTTGTTCACACTGTAGATTTAAACACAACTAAGAGCAGTAACATTTGAAAGGATACGGAAATATGAGATGCTTCATAATACAAGAATACAATATAAAGCGTCTTGTCTAAAGCAAGATCAATATTAGAGTTTTTCAGCCTTTACACATCAGCAGAGAACAATATGTAAATATGGGCCTGTGCAATACATTTAATTTGAAGGGTCCACCAAGCCAGGATGAAGTGTTTGGAGAACGTGGACGTGTCACAGTGCACAGATGAGGCCAGGTATTTTTACACTTCATTACAGTTCAATTTCCATGACTTTTCCAGGATTTCCATGACAGTGGTAACCATGTGAAGCTTCTGATAAAAAACCTAAAAAACATGCACTAGGGACTACAGGTGGAAATTACCTCTAGTGCTACAACCTGGCATAATGCATCTCTCCTGTTAAGGTACATTGTGAACTGTCCCTGTTTCTTGAATGAATGAATGATAATGATACTACTACTACTACTACTACTACTGAAAGAAAAGTCCTTTATGTGACACATTTGACATTTTCACTGTTTTGATGATTAAAATTGAAATTTTTTCACTTTTTTCTTTAGTAAATAAAAAATGATATAAAAATAAATCAATGTGAAAAAAAGCAATTGTGATTCATTTTGATTGTCCAGTGCTATTGTTTATGTCTTACCCTGTGTCCACATTTCAGGCACATCCATATTGGTCCACTCTCCTCCGTCTCTGTTTCCTCTGATGTGTTTTTGTCGTCTTTGTCGTCACTGTGGCAATCCTGGCACTTTGTCCAGTCTTCAGTCCCAGAGAGCTTCTTCACAATGGCTTGGTCAGTTCCCTTTTTTATATGTCGACAAGATGGACCTTAGGAGACAACAAGAATAGTATTAGTTTCTGTGTTTCTATGGATATGTCATCACTCTGCCTGGAATATTCCACAGTATGACATTAAATCTTAGATTTATTAAATTACAGGTGGTTTTATAGCTCAAAAATACCTACAAAAACAGGCATTCTGACTGTGAGTGGGTTCCTCGCCACAGATCTGACCTGTAACTTGGTCTGGTTTGATCTCCATAAAGATAGAAAGGTTCAATACCAGACTGTGAAACATTCAGACAAAGCAATAACATCTCCACATAGAAAAGCATGTGACGGACCCTCCACCACAAAAGTTACACAATGCATCTTTAAACATTTCTGTATTATCACCAAAATCTACCTGACAAGTCAATATCGTCGTCCTCTTTGGAGCTGCGGTCCTTAACCCTCTTCTTCCCCATAGTGACCTAAAAAACAAATCAGAAAAACAAATACAACATGAATTAATTTAAAATGTTTGTAGTTTTTTTTTTGTTATAACCTAAAAAAAGTGGTGGAAAGTAACTACTGTAAATATAAATGCTCATATTAATGTAATTGAGTAGACTTTTTGAGTATTTGTACTTTTTAAGTAGATTTTTAGACCTCTATACTTGTGATTAAGTATAATTCTAACCAAGTAATTGCAATTAGTAACATTTATAATCATATCATCCTCAGTACGGCCCAAATTCCAATTGTCCAAATCCACAGTTGCCTCATGTCTGCCTCTGCTTCTTTTTATCCTGATAAACCCACATAACACTATGCAGTAGTGGAAGAAGAACTTATTAAAGTAAAACTACAGATACCAGAATAGAAAGTAAAAGTACCACATGAAAAAATCTAGTCAAGTAAAAGTATTAAAGTACCCGAATAAATATGTACTTAAAGAATAAAAAGTCTGAGTATTGGAGGTCTTATAAGGCTTCAAAAGTTTTAATTTTGACACAGATTTGTGCTGAATTTTTTTCAACAGAAACAGTTGAATCAATATTTTTTCCAGCTGTTTGTAATGATATATTTCTGTTTGCTTAAATTAAACAATGTGTTAAAAATAAACCCTCAGCCTTTTCAGCAGATCTCAAACTATAATGTAACAAAAACACTACTTTATTTCACTTTGCAGTCCAGTTTAAAAAATGCAGTGGAGTAGAAAGTACAGATACCTGCTCTCAAATGTAGTGAAGTAAAAGTAATCCACACTGTAAAATGTGTTTAAGTAAAGTACAGATACTTTTACTTTTACTTTAACGGTTCCATGTGTATAAAATACTGATCTAAAATGCTGCTAAAATGTGTTCAGAATAACTCTAAATAGTATTTTTATGTGTACTTTTCACATTTACTTAAGTATAATCTTGAAAGCAGTACTTGAACTTGTAATTGAGTACATTTTATTCATATATTTACACATTTTCTTGAATATAAAATGTCCACCAGTGCCTAATAATTCTTTACTATATTGCACAAACTGGCAAAAACGACTTTATAGATTTAAAAAATTATAATAATAAGCAAACTGACACATTCTCCCAAGAGTTAAACCCACAAATCAACTCAAAATTATCACAAAATTAATGATTATAGTTCTATTGCATTTAGTATATCCAGGACATGTTTTGTACAAGTAAACCACAATGTCACATCTATTAAATAAATGATGATTTAAGTTAGCTATAGAACAACAATTAAACAATTAAAAACAAATACTTTTAGTTAAACTGATATGAATTATTATTGGTAAAGCAACTTACAGCTACAGACGATGACACAATACCCTCACTTTCGTTAACTTCGCGTTAATAAATCCATTTTACACAATCGTACTACCGTATCCCAACTAATGTCATCAAGCTATTTTACAGTTTAAAATTATAGATAAATATGAACAAAAACCTAAGAAAAAGACAGAAAATTCCGGTAGCAGCTGACACACGCACAAGGGGAACGAAAGTGACGGTGCAGCTGTTTCCAATGCTCCGTGCGGGCACTTCCGGAGCGCCGTTTTCTACTGTCCGACAAAGAAACAAATACAAATGTTTATTTATTTATTTATTTTATTTTATTTTTTTAATTAATATGTTGAAGGTGAGGTGCAGTTAATTACACAAGAGAGAGAAAAAAAAAAAAAAGATAAAATAAAAATGCATAAATAAATAAAATAAAAAATAATAAAAATAATAAAATTAAAATAAAATTAAATAAAAGACCACAAAACCAATACCAAAATACATATGTGGATGAGGCAGGATCATGGATCTATAATAAACACTTTACTACTATTACTATTACCTTTTTTATATATTTTTTATTTTTTTTACTATTACTACTACTCTACTATTACTACTATTGCTTCTATTACTCTACTACTATTACTATTACTATTACTATTACTATTACTATTACTCTGCTACTATTACTACTATTACTATATTAAACTGTACTATTACTATACTACAATTTTATTTTTATTATAGTTCTATGGGCAGGATGTGTGTGTCTGAGTCATAGAACATAAAATCTTTGAAATACTATAATAAACTATATGAAAAACTATGAAAATATCAAATTGAAAAAAAAAAAAAAAAAACAAACAAAAAAAACAACAACAAAAAAAACTAACAAAAAAAAAGAAAAGAAGAAAAAAATAAAAACTATAATAAAATCTATAATAACATTTTTATTATAGATAATAACATTTATATCTATAATATAGCATCTATAATAACATTTTTATTATAGATTTTATTATAGAGCTTGTCCCATTGACTTGAAAGGGCAGCTATTTTTAGACCACAGGGCTTGGTCTTGACAGTGATTTATTTATTTTTTTTACATTGTTGTTCTCTTGCTGTAATAAATCATGAACATATATTACTAATAATTCTGGTAAGAAATACATGTCAGATTAAACAATAATAAAATAATATAAGATTACTTATACTGTATTAATTAGTATGTACAAACTAAATAACTTACACAATATGTTCTAATCTCATTATTGAAAGTACCAGGTTTACAAGTCTTACATGTTATTTACAGATTTACATTACAGCTCAAAGATACAAAGCAACCACTCAAAAATCAAACATTACAATAAACCATTGCTCTAAAACTCTTCAAAGTGAACTCCATTTAGATTAAAGCGCTGTGGCCAGCAGATGGCAGTAATGGAAAATCATTTTTGTAATTACTAACGCCAAGGAAGATACTGCCCGGTTTTGGGTTTTACGCGCATGGATTTTACGCACGACGTCTCTACATAATATTGCTTATCCGATATGCACTTTTATGCATTTTTAAAACCAATTATCGCTATTCTAATACCTGAATGTCTTGGATAAACTGGAATCACGTTAATGGACACATATCACCATGGAAGTTTGATGTTCTTATTATAGATCCACGCGTGTGACTCGTGATCGCGTGGCAATGTCGTACCTGGACTGGGCAGGGAGTCAGCTGGCGGAGATCGAGCTCCTGTGCAGCATGTTTCCTGCACAAGACGAGCTGCAGTTTTTGGATCCGCTCGCCATCGCGTTGCTCCGGAGCTACGTGGAGGGCTCCGGGTCTAAAGATGGGCCCCCAGCCTCCAGACCCCAGTTTGAAATCAAGCAGAAGATGCAGCCCACAGGAATGGACGAGGTGAGAAGAAGATAATAAGGGTTTCCAGACCAGTGGTATATGAAACACTCAATTTTGTTAAGTAAAAATACAGATACTGGGGCAAAAAGTTACTCAAGTAAAAGTATCGCATGAAAAAAACTAACCAAGTAAAAGTATTAAAGTACCTGTTGGTTTTAGAGCAATTAAATGAATGAAATGTAGTTATATTAATTCAGAATTTAGCATATTTTGTGATTCAATTGATTTCTTAATTTTTCTAGCTGTTTTTGTGTGTTTGGTTTGCTCAAAGTTGGACAGAAACTCAAATTAAATGTGCTAAAAAAAAGTCTCAGACATTTCAAAATAATTTTTACTTTTTCAGTTCAAGTCCAAATGTTGTGGAGTAGAAAGTACACATATATTTTCTCTAATGTTTTAGATTTAGACAAACTTTATTTGTGTGTCTTGTGTGTTAAAAATGTGTGTGAATAAAAAACAAAACAAAGCATAAATTCAGGTATATTTTTGATTTGTATTAAAGTAAAAGTAAATCCACAAGGGAAATTATTTCATGTCGTGAAGTAAAAGTAGAAAGTATTCACTGTAAAATTTTGTAAAGTACAGATACCTCACATTTGTAAATATTGTACTTTTACTTTTATACTAATCAAAAACACACCAAGAGTTGTGTTTTTTTTGTTTTTAAACTCCGTACACCTTCACTAGAATTAACTGAATAATTTAAATTTTCTTGGAATTGCCAATCTCTACTGAAATAAAGGTAAAAGGTACGTACATGGATGCACACAGCCCAATAATGCAATATTACTTACATATGTGTGAATGAAACAAACATAACTTTTTGATTAGGTAACGATGTTCTAATGTGGCCTAAAGCTCACAATAATCAATTTTAATTTCGAAAATATTCATGAAACCCATGGGAAACACTGTTATAAGATTTGTGGGTTTGTAAATATTGGTTATGATGTAGTTTTGTATTTTTTGTTTGTTTGTTTTGTTTTTCTAGATGGATGTAATTGTGGCCTGTGCTTATCCTTCTGAATATCCAAGTGTGCTGCCAGAGATTACAGTCAGGTATGGCTGTTACTTCATAATAATGGACCTCTCACATTTTATAGAAAAGACAGAAATATGCACTCCTAAACTAACATAAGAATCATATGCATTTCAGAACATGTTTGTAAAGCTCTAAACTACAGACTTAGCAGGTTTAATACAGTATAATGCTCCATGGAGACAGAGAAATATTCAGTCTGTAGAAGATATTACATTACTACATCATAAGTTTCATTTTTATTTATTTAGTGCTTTTCACAGACATTTTTGTCCCCAAAGATGCTTTACAGAGCATTATTCAGCATTATTCAGTCACTCTATACCTGGTGATGGTAAGCTACTATTGTAGCCACAGCTGCCCTGGGGCAGACTGACAGAAGCTTGGCTGCCATGCCAATCAGCATCATCTGTCCCTCCAACCACCACCATCACTCACACACACACACAGACAGACACACCACTTTCATACTAGGCAATGTGGGTGAAGTGTCCTGCCTAAGGACACAATGACTGAATTGATTGTTTTTAACTGACCTTGACTATCAACTGTTTATGGAGACCTATGTAGCATGTTTTGTGTCGATGGGGGAAACCGGAGCACCTGGAGGAAACCCATCCAGACACGGGAAGAAACATGCAAACTCCACACAGAAAGGCCTGGGCGACCCGGGGATCAAACCCAGAACCTTCTTGGTGTGAGGCATGAGTGCTAGCCACTCAGCCACCGTGCCGGTGTCATTTGTCGCTGTTCTCTCAGGATTGTTAAATCAGATAGGGATGCACCGATCAACTACTGATATCTGATATCAGCACAGATACTGAAAATTGTATTGTATTGGATATTGGCTTCCAAATATCTGTTTAGCCGATATCGTGGTTGGGCATTAACATCGATGTAATGAGACTTTTTATTGGTCATAGTCGGCCCAGAAAGTCTCATTGTTTGAAATTTGTATTTATACAAAGTTGTACTTCAGTTGTATAGTTTTTCTGTGGTTACTTGAAAACTAAGCAATGACAGAACATATTTGGATCAGTTTTATCTTATTTTATTTTTGGAAATTAGGAAGTAAATGCCTAAAGAGAGGAAGATGAGTGCTTCAGCGGGTCGATCAAATTTCAGGTCGACCCACTGCTCATCAGGATCACAGTGGGAGAACTTCACTTACAGACATTAAAAAGAAGAAATCCAAGACACTCTGACTGCATTAAAACTCTTTAATATATAAAACAGGATTAGTCTCTGTGTTTCGGCCGCATGGGGCCTTCTTCAGGGCATACCAGGGCACATTTGGCCTGAAGAAGGACTTTTAATGCAGTTGGAGCTCCTCGGATTTCATCTTTTTAATCTAGGAAATAAATGCTGTTTTCAGGATCGATTGCTAAAAAGCTGGGTCGGTGCATCCCTAAAATTAAGTGACAATCAATATCAAAACTAGGTACAAGTTCGTCAGGATGGCGCAACCTGGTGCCTCCACTCAATTTCATTTCTCTCCAGCAACTAGGTCAGGAATCAAAATACAATAGAAGGATCGCAAAAACCCTGGAAGTGCAAGTTCGGGCACCAGCCAATCAGCAAAGAGCCATATATTCAGTGTTGTCAGTGATTCCCGAGATCGAGGATTTAAAGCCGGAACAAAGAGAATGTTTGGTGAATTTTATAAAAATAAAATAAAATGGAAGTAAGTAATAAAAATATCTCAGCAATCTACAAGAGGTCATAAAGAATTCACACTCAAGGCGAATTAGGTGTTTTGCTCAAGGACCCAACAACATCTCTCTCCTTCTCATTCTCTTTCTCCTCCTTTCAACATCTTCTCTCATTCTTGCACAGATGCTCGGGTCTGAACCGGTCCCAGCAGAGCCAGCTCCACTCAGACCTCGGGGCCTACCTGAGCGAGACCTGCCTGGGGGAAGTCTGCGTGCTGTCGGCCGTGGACTGGCTCAAGGACCACCTCCATCTGTACGCCTGCCCCACGTCTGCGCCCGCCCCCAACCAGAGAGCCCCTCCCCCCGCGCAGCACCCAGAGGTCTTCACCCGTCTCTGGATCTACAGCCACCACATCTACAACAAGGTCAAGAGGAAAAACATCCTGGAGTGGTCCAAGGAGCTGGGTCTGACCGGGTTCAGCATGCCGGGCAAGCCTGGGGTGGTGTGCGTGGAGGGGTCACAAGATGCCTGTGAGGACTTCTGGGCCAGGTATGTTATCATATTACTGAAATATCATGTAAATAGTGGATATTTTTTTTATTTTTCACACAGTTTGGATAAGGAAACTTTAAGTATATAGCCCATTTTATAAACATGACAGCTTCCAAAGAGCTGCACAGACAAATTAATACAATAAAAGTCAGTAAATCATAATTAAAACCAATAAATAAAAAGTGTTAAAATGCATAAAGCTAAAAATGTTAAAACAATGAATAAAATAAAATAAATAAAAGGCACAGAGGACCACACAACTCACACGGTGTTGAAAGCCAGAGAAAGTGGTCGATAAAAGTGGGTCTTAAGACGAGACTTAAAACTCTTCACTGTGGGGTCTGTTCGGACGTGGGGGGGCAGAGCAAGTCGAGTCAAGTCCAAAAGCACCACGATGGATCTGGCCCTTGAACCTCAGAGAGCGCACGGGGGAGTAAATCTGGATGAGGTCAATTCAAAGCTTTAAAAAAAGAACATTGCAAAAGTTGTGGCCAACGAAATTGCAAAAAAGGTTGGATTTTGGATAAAAGTCTTAAATGATAAAAACTTTGATTTTAAGACGCCGTTTATCTGGTTATCAAATTTAAAATCACTGTCTAAGGTGACCCAAGGCTGGTGACTGTGACGGACATGATCTTTTTAGGATCTCAAATCGACGAGGGAGCTGCCAGATCCAAACAATATGACCTCAGGTTTTCCTTCGATCAGTTTTAAAACATTTTGAGCCAACCAAGCCTTGATGTCACTTTCACAGTTTCACAGTATGGCATTAAACCTTTCTATCTTCATGGAGACCAAAACAGACCAAGTTACAGGTCAGATCTGTGGAAAGGTGACCCCACTCACAGTCAGAATGTTTGTTTTTCTAGGTATTTTCAAACTATAAAACCTCATGTAATTTAATAAATGTACGATAGAGCTGTTCAATGTCATACTGTGGAACATTCCAGGCAGAGCAAAGACATATCCAAAGAAACAAGCACGTAAAGTACCTCCAACTAAAGTTACACAATGCGTCTTTAAATTTCAAATGAATTCTGTTTGTCCAGAGTGAAGGTCCTGACGTGGAAGAAGATCATGATTCGCCACCGAGAGGACATCCCGCTCGGAGGACAGGAGGACGACAGTGGACCTGCTCCGACTCTGGACTCTCTGAGGAAGTTCAACCATTTTGAAGAAGCCATGTTTGACCCTCACGGTAACCGGGGCAACCACATGGACCTGGGACAACTGTATCACTACCTCAATGAGAAGGGACTAAGCGATGTCTTTCAGATGTATTTTGGCGTCGAGGGAAGGTGAAAAAAGAACAATACTGGAAAAATCTAATATATTTTTTGTTAATTTGGATAAATCCTCTTCTAATATAAGGAATTATTATTGTGTTGGTTCTTATTTTTTACAATTTCAGACAACTCTGCATCCTTAAAGCAGTTATATTTCATGTTTTATAACTTAAAGTGCCCATTTTACGCCATTTACTGATCCATGTTATAATGTTTCCTCATCAAAAACATACCTGTGTTTTTGTTTCATTTGCACATGTTTAACACACAAACCCCTGTAAAATCCATGTATCATTCGTTCATTCGTTTTTGAAAATAAAACCAAAAATAAGAAAATTAAAAGACTATTATTTTCTTTATTATTTATCTCCAAAACCAAAATGAAAAACAACAATTCGTTTTTTCAGTTTTCGATTTTGGGTTTAAATGAATAATGGAAAAAACACATAATGGACGTTTCCAGTTTCCGTGACTTAAACTGTGATGCCGGACTTTTACACCACATACAGACTGAACCAGGACTAAACCAGACTGTGTAGACTCTCAGGTAACCGCAGGTGAGAGGACTGGCGCAGACCTCCATCCCATGGGGCTAAGCGCAGCCATCGGCCGATAGCACTTTGCGGACACCCTGCTTTGTGGACTCGGGGTCCAGTGTCTCTCAAGTTCAAGATTAGTCCTGGTTTAGACCTGGTTTAGTCCTGTTTCAGTCCTGATTTAGTCCTGGTTTAGTCCTGGTTCAGTCCATATGCAGCACAGAAGTTCAGCATCCCAATTTAAGTCACGGAAACAGGAAACCATTATTCGTTTAAATACAAAATTGAAATCGTTATCCGTTTTTTCATTTTGGTTTTGGAGAAAATTGTTGTTAGTTCTAATGAAGAAAATTTATTTTTTTTTTATTTTCTTATTTTTGGTTTTATTTTGAAAAACAAATGATTGAATGATACACGGATTCCTGTATTTAGGCTGTGTTCTTCTCACAAACAGAAAACACTCTCAAACTCTCTCACTTTCTACCTTGTGATATCATGTGGTAACAGGAAGTGCTCCGCTGTGTTTCTAAACTCCACACACCTTCACTTGAATCATTTGGATGATTTCAGTCCTGAAATTGCCCATCTCTACTAAAGAAAAAGTCAAAACTTTCTGTTAACTTGAAAACAACCACTACATTACATGGCAGAACAGAGCGTTTTGGGCTTTGGAGATGCAGACAAACAAATAAATAAGAGATTATTCAAACATGTGTGAAACCAAACAGAACTCCAGGTCTGTTTTTGATGAGTTGTTGAGTTCTAGATCACACACAGCGTTTCATAGTTGCAAATTTCCCATGGATTGCACTTAAATAGCGAAAACCAACTATGTAGACAATCCTATTAAAACACCCCATACAAGAAGTTTAATTAGCATTTAGTCCCACTTTAATTTCAAATTGTCATTAAGCCCTAACTTTTCTACTTCTAACTCAATCTTACCTTCAAACGTTACTCTACTATAGGGATTTTTAATTGAGTTGAATCTTATTTTTTTTACAGTTTCAGTCAACTGTGCATCCTTTAGCATCTTATATTTCCTGTTTTATAACTTAAAGTGCCAATATGACGCCATTTTTCTAATCCATGTTATAATGTTTTCTCATCAAAAACATACCTGGAGTTGTGTTTTTGTTTCATTCACAAAAAAACTACCACTACACGGCATCACAGAACATGCTGGAACAGAGCATTTTGGGCTTTGGAGATGTAAACAGACAAATAAATAAGGGATTATTCAAACATGTGTGAAACCAAACACAACTCCAGGTATGTTTTTGATGAGTTTACCTTGGTTAAAGAGCCAAAAAGGACTAGGTAGAAAATACAATTAAAACATGCAATAAAGTTAAGTTGCCCAAAAAAGTTTAATTAGTGCCATTAGTCCTTAAGCCCTAACTTTTCTACTTCTAACTCAGTCTTACCTTCAAGTGTTATCCTGGCAAGCACACAATTTAAGTCTAATTGAAAATCCACAGATGTTAATGGACTATTTGTAGTAGTATCTAAAGTACGCTCTGATAACACTACCTTGTAATTTTCTACTGAAAACAAGATACTTTCTACCGTTTGTTTTGATACTGTTCCTTAAGAATTAGACCAAAATGATTAGAAGATTAGCTGTGATCCGATTTCAGTGCAATTAAAATTTCTGCTTATCAAGTGTGAATCTTAATTTTAGCCTTACATGATAGAAAACTGTTTCCCTGGTGCTGCTGCCTAATTATGAGACTTTTATGAGAAAAATATCAGTGGAATGTTATCAGATTGTAAGAATACTTTGAACTTTGAACCTTTTTAGTGAGCTGTTTATCGACAGTCGGCAAGTTAACCAAGGAATTCTTTGAAAATTGCTGAAATACAAGTTCATGTTCTCAGAGGTTTCTCTTGTTCATTTATTCATTGATAATTGCTGTTTTATTTCTAAATTTGGTTTGGGATTAAATCTAGTTTTAATTCTTGACATACAGAATGAAAAATCAGTGAAATGTTTGATTTTATTTACTTCGATTAAGAATGTTTTAAGTAGATGACGTTTGAAAGGTGCTTTACATGAGGATCATTATTACTGAAATCAGAGGTGGGTAGTGCTCAGTTACATTTATATATAAAAACAATCTTTATTTAGATAGTAATATAATGTGATTTCAACATTAAATCATAGTATTTCCTTTCATATTATCATGCGGTCTTATATCTGTGTGATCCTTCAGTCGTTCCATCGTAGTTCATGGGTGTCGACTAGTCTATGTGGTCTTATACTTGTTATGATACAGCTCAGTAACTTTTTAAAGAACTGTAGTATTTTTTTACTATACTTTTACTCCAACTTGAGTAATAGTTTTTATTGAAGTAACAGTATTCTTACAAGTTTTAGTTACTTGTCCCATCCATCCATCCATTTTCTTCTGCTTATCTGGGGCCGGGTCGCAGGGGCAGCAGTCTAAGCAGGGATTCCCAGACTTCCTTCACCCCAGACACATCCTCCAGCTCCTCCGGGGGGACCCCGAGGCGTTCCCAGGCCCGAGAAACATAGTCCCTCCAGCATGTCCTGGGTCTTCCCCGGGGCCTCCTCCCGGTGGGACATGCCCGGAACACCTCCTGAGGGAGGCGCCCAGGAGGCATCCGGAACAGATGCCCGTGCCACCTCAGCTGGCTCCTCTCGACGTGGAGGAGCAGTGGCTCTACTCCGAGCTCCTCCCATATGACTGAGCTCCTCACCCTATCTCTAAGGGAGCGTCCAGCCACCCTGCGAAGGAAACTCATTTCGACCACTTGTATTCGCGATCTTGTCCTTTCGGTCATTACCCAGAGCTCATGACCATAGGTGAGAGTAGGAACAAGATTGACCGGTAAATCGACTGACCCACTTGTCCCACTGTGAGTAATTCTCAGGGTTCCCACTCTTTTTCCATTGGTGGGCTGTCAGGGTCTGCAAGGCCTAAAAAAATATCTGAATCACAGACTGTTGTTATATTATTATTATTAAATAATTCCAAATGGTCTGTCTGCTTTCTTCCGAAGCTTTTCCGATGGTAGTGCTGCTTCCAGACATGTATTTTTGTATTAAAACATTTGACTAGGGATGTAACAATAACCAAAATATCGTAATATTGTATCGTCAAAATTCTGACAATAATATCGTGAACCATCAGAATATATCGAATTACAAGTCTCTTTTCTTAAATTAAGGGTTATGGTGCAGCAATAACTAAAAAAAGAGGGAACTACATAGACCATGATCCTTTGCTCCATTTGAGTGCAGACTACAAGAAGAAATAACAGTTCTAAGCACTTTTAAGCAAGCAAGCAAGTCTTTATATATATAGCGCTTTTCATGAAACAAAACACAATTCCAGGTATGTTTTTGAGGAGGTAACAACATTCTAACATGGTTTAAAGCTCACCAGAATCCAATTTAAGTAATATAGGACCTTTAAGAGATGATATTTTTGCATCTTTGACATACACAAATTCCTGACTTTTAGATTATAATGGACAAATTCCAACAATTCCTACTTCATCAAGCATGTTTTGACGAGGTAACAACATTCTAACAAGATGTAAAGCTCACATGAGTTAATTTAATTGATTTTTCATTTTTTAATTTAATTTTTCGTCCCCCAGCAGATGGCAGCAGTACACCATTACAGTACACCGTTTTCAAGCCGTATTCAAAGCTGATGCATTAAACATAAAGCATAATATAGCCTTGTATTAACCTGCTGTAAAATCACACTCTTATGTTAATGAGTTGGAACCTGAGAAAATTTTCACTTCCACATCTTTATGTCCTGGGATTAGATTTGTCCCGTTACTAGAATTTCAGACTCGATTTTGATTTTAAGGAATAGACTTGATACTCAATACCAATTCTGATACCACAATGATAATAATAATAAAAACACTCTTTATTTAGACAATAGAATGCAATTTTCAACATTAAATCATAGCTCTTTCTTTTATTTTACCGTGTGGTCTTATATCTGTGTATTCTAGTCTATGTGCTCAAATCTAGTTTATGTACTAGTTGTTGTATTGAGAGCAGAAATAGGGACTTTCAAGCCATGACTTGGACTCGAGTCAGACTTGAGTCACTGTTTTTAGGACTTGAGACTTGACTTGATAAAATGGACTAAGACTCGGGACTCGACTTGGACTTGAAGGTTAAAGACTTGGGACTTGACTCAGACTTGAGGCCTGTGACTTGAGAAGACTTGATGCTTCTCCTAAAAAAACATGTTTTTATAAAATACTTTTCTCTTGACAACTGATAAATGTGGTGCTTAATTTTACAGGAGCAAACTGGAACATGTCCCTTCAACTTCTCTGTTTGTTACTTTGGATGTAACTGAAGTACTGTGACATGGTATCCTCAGATGTACTACAGTAATATACAGTACAATACAGTAAAACAGAGGGAACTACAGAGAACCTGATCCTTCATGACAAAACAACTGTTATTTATCACTTTTAAATCTGATTTCCTTCTATTCTGTAACTGTAATGATTCACACTAAGATCTTGTCAAGACATTTAAAAAGGAAAGATTAACATTTCTACAATTCTTATATAAATACGCAAATATAAATATACCATGACTTTTAAGTACAATTTAGTTTAAAATTCATATAAATTGCAAAAAATTAAAGCTATAATTGGTACTTTGGTTTAAAGACTTGAAATGACTTGAAGCTAAAAGTAGACGACTTGGACTTGACTTGGACTTATGGGGCAGTGACTTGAGACTCAACTTGGACTTGCCTGTATTTGAATTGGGACTTGACTCGGACTTGAGACTTGCAAAACAACGACTTGGTTCCACCTCTGATTGAGCGGTATCTGATTTTTGATGCTTTTGACAACCCAGGAATACAAGTTATAATTCTCCAATAAATAAATAAAACAAAAACATGACACGAAAGCGTGCACAGCAACAAACCTGATCTGATGTGCAGTAGTTTCATTAGCGGGATGCATGCTGATTGTGTTGTGATAACTCTGAACAGGAAGTGACTTTGCACGGGGAGCTCTGTTTGAAAGAAGAACTACTCCTAAATCCGCAGGGTTTGTGTGTTAAACATGAGAGAATGAAACAAAACACAACTCCAGGTCTGTTTTTGATGAGGAAACAACATTATACCAGACAAGAAAACAGTGTAATATGAGAATCCGTGTATCATTTGTTCATTCGTTTTTTTTTTTAAATAAAACCAAAAATAAGAAAAAAAAAAGTAAAGAATGTT